GACCTTCTTCCAAAAAAAAAAAAAATTCTGATTGTGTACCTGTACCTGGAAGTTTATAACAAAAATGTTTTTTTAACACTATGAGTTATTTACAGTCATGATGTGTTGCCAATTGTCATGGGAGCATCTCGGAGGGAATATGAATTAGTTGCGCCTAACCATTCATTCATACACGTTGATGATTTTAAATCTGCAGAGGATTTAGCTATGTATTTACACAAATTGGACAAAAATGATGAGTTATACAACGAATATTTTAAATGGAAAGACACCGGTACAGTCATGATAAATACCAAATTGTATTGTCGGATTTGTGCAATGCTTCACGATAAAGATCATCCACCAAAGCACTATAGCAATCTCGCTAAATGGTGGGGTGGTCCTGATGTTTGTCATCGATAAAAACAATACAATTCGAGCTGTGGGCAATCTCTTATATTTATAGATACAATTATAAATTCCATTTGTTTGTTTATATTCGTACCTATTTATTAATATTAATCTAAGTAATACCCAGGTGCCAATAAAAATGAAATTTGTTATAAATTATTATCGTTTTATTTGTATATTAAATATATGTATAAATACAAAATATATGTATAGTAATAAAAAATAAATAAAATGAATTACTGCGTTGCTTGGAATATTATTATAAGCGTCTCATACGACCGGTTTTGAATAAAAATTCGTCATTATATAAATCACAGTCAAAATTTAAAACGCGACTGAATATAAAAAATTAAATGACGGAATACATATAAAAAAATTGTACAAATTGGTTCTTTTACATTTTTACGAATTCGCTAAAATTCTGAACAATAATACAAATAATATAAAAATCGCTTATAGGACTAATGATAATTTTATCAAACATATAAACAATAGAACGAAAACTGCACGAAAAATCTCAAAATCCCCCTTTTGAAAATGCTGTTATATATAAACTTACATGTAAATGTGCATTTCATATAAGTAAGATAAAAAGAAATTTTAAAATAAGATATAAAAAACACATTTCTGAAATAAAATTAAAAAAGATTGTCCCTTAAACATGACGTAGAGATATTAAATACCCAAAATAACATTTATATTGATTCAGTTTTAGAAAAATTACATATTACATACAATGAAATACAGAAAAATAATTTTAATAATATTTTACGTGTGCAAACCGATTTTAAAAATAGTGCCTTGTTTCAATAGATTTTAGATAATAAATAATACCCAAATAGTTAATATTTCTGAACACACCTATGTTTAATTATAACTCATTTTAAATAATCTCTCCTATTAAAATAAATTATTTCTATGTAAAACGACAAATTGTAGAATTTTTTTTTATGGGATCTATTGGTTTTACCAAGATGTTTATTTTTTTTATTTTTTCTAGTCTGTGGGCACGTTTTTTCTTTGTAAATTTGCTCCGGTTTTTACGTGTAGAAACTTTTCTGAAAGCTCAAGAGGTCATTTTTTGATTTTCGACATTATTTTTTTAATAAAAGCACTTAAAAGGGAAAAAACGTAGGAAAACGTACCATTTCACGATTTCATTATTTTATAAAAACATGGACGACGTTTTCTACCAGAAAAAACGTTTTAATCGAAAAATCACAAGATACCTTTTTTGTTGCATTTTTGATTTACTTTCTTACGATATCATTACTAAAACTTAAGAGTCACTTTTGAGCTTTTAAGGAATTTTAATTTTTGGGAGTTTTTTGCTATAATAATGTTATAAATATACGTAGAGACTTGAAATTTGGTTATAATACTTGTATTGGACTTACCTAGACATGGTAAAATTTCAAAAATCATCGGACGACTTTTTAATTTTTTTACATTGGCACTTTATTATTTTTTTTTATACTGTAGAATACTTTTATCCTAGAAAACTTGCTCCGATGTATAATTGTAGCACCATTTCTGAAAGTAAATTTCTTTTACTTGGTAAATACATAGGTCATTTTCTGATTATCGAAACGGTATTTAAAATAAAAAGGATTAACTAGGGAAAAAAATACGATTTTTTCACGATTTCGTTATTTTAAATAAATACCTACCACGTTTTCTAGCACAAATATGGTTCCAATTGAAAAACTACGAGAGACTTATTTTGTCGAACTATTATTCTTGTTTTTTATGATGCAGTTGGTTTTTTTGATTTTAAAATACTTATATAAGGTACATGTATTATGTATGTTAAAATATTACTATTGAATATTTTTGTTATTTAATAATCATTTTAGATTCTGAGGGTAGTGATCTACGTTTATTGGTTTTAGAATGATGTTTTTTTTTTTTTGTTTTATTTTATACTTTGTCAAAAATGTCTACCAGAAATCTTGCTTCTATATATATATTTGCGGCTCCATTTTTGAAAGGAAATATTGTCTAAATGGTACTTTAAGAAGTTCATCTTTTAATTTTTCTAGTGATTTTTTTAATATCCGGAAAAACCCGGGATAAAATCTAAGAAAAACAGGACATTTATGAAAATATTGCTTTTTATTATTTTTAATTTTGATATTTATTGTATTCAGTAAAAATATTCGTAGAGGCTTAAAATTCAGACAGTATATTTATATTTGTTTTTTGAGATATTGTAAAATTTTTCAACAATTATAGCCATTTTTAAACTATTTTTAGACATTTAAATTTTGAAAGTTTTGTACGAAATTTTTATTAGGTAGGTACTTTGTGGTAAAACTATTGTTTGATTAAACAGAAATGTTTGAAAATTTAACAGGAATTTCATTATAAGTTTTACTTAATGGTTAAAGTAAAAATATTGAGCTTTATATAGTATTTTTTTTTATAATGGAATTTTAATATCACATTAATCGAAAATCGTTTTAGTAAAAAATCATGTGGTACAAATCTGATTACTGGTTCATATAAATTGTTTCAATATATATTTATTTAACTAAAATTTGATCTATATATCGCTGAAGAAGCAATGCTCAGAATCGTTTTTCGTTAGTAACGATTAGTCTTTGCTTACATGTACATTAAATTCTCCTTTATATCCTACCTTCCCAACTTCTCATCTATAACAATGTTCCACTCATCGTGCGAAGTATGTGAATCTTTTTTCGTTTCTAACTTATTAGTTACCTATATGACAAGTGAATACTCATTTAATGTATTATACCTTCCCAGTTTCTCACCAACAACTGTGGCCACCCATCAGCATGTATTAGCTCTTTTTTTATTAGATAGATATTATATGTGTTTAATTTAATCTAAATAAAATAACAAAGACTTAAAATACTTATCCTATTTGGATTCAGATAAATCGAAAACAATTTTAATTTCCAAACGCCAATAAATTTCCCTTACCAGTTTTAATCAAGATAAAATGATATGTTCTATACTGCGTTTTTAAATCAGGTTTCATATATATATATATATATAATAATTATATTTTTATATATTTTAGGTATCAGTGGTTCACAAATTATTTATTTACGCTGCATTTCGTAGTGAAGTCATAAATACAACATTGTATGTACGTTTATTTTAGATCATTTTGTTGATCGACAACAATGCTTTTTACTTTTAATTTTTCGTACATTAATGAACAAAAAACACGCACAGTGTTCTCATTATTTTGTAATATTATAAAATTAAATAAGTTACCCAATATTTGTTTTACTATACAAATACCAAAATAATAGTAATTACTAATTTGTACATGTATTCATAATGAGAGGAGTGAGAAATTGTTTCTATTTTTAGCACCTACTTAATTGAATAAAAAAATTATTTGGTCACCACTGGCTTTAGATGCGATTTATTTTATTTTAAAATACTATTAAGTGTTTACAATAGCCTTAACTCATAATATTTAATGGTCAAACACTAAGACCATCTGTCCCTTGAACCGGTTTTATAGATTATATTATATTATAGGTATATATGTATGTTTCATATTCCATAAAACACAAGTTATATTTCTCTTTCAATTCTTAACACGTAAAAATTGTTTCAGACAAGCTGTACGTCGTTCAGTTCAACATGGTTAGACCTTCCGTTATAATTTTTTTACTATCAACGGCGACATTTGTCGCTTGCTCTTTTGCAAATGTTTTGTATCCGGTGGAGAGTGAAAGCCGTGAATTACGTACATTACATGGCTTGTGGAACTTTAAGATATCTCCACCATCTGATCAATCAATTGGTTTTGACAACAAATGGTATTCTGTGCGATTTGAAACGGTAAGCTATAACATATTAATATAAGTTCACAAAATACTTTTAGTGCAAATATTTAAAAAAATATAACAAAATCATGAGTCACAGCCGGGTTTGGAATTTAAAGCACAAAGAATCAACCAAAATAGCATTTAAAAATGTATAACAAAATAATAAAGTAAAAGCAAAATTATTAAAATGGTTAATACTCGTAAATAAATATATAAATAAAAAAATGTGTACATAAAAATAAAATAAATAAATAAATGAATGCGTCGTCTGGAGTATTATGATAAGTGTACTTTACGACCGGTTTCGAATAATACACTTATCATAATACTCCACACGACGCATTCATTTATTTATTTACTTTGTTTTTATACATACATTTTTTATTTATATATTTATCTACTATTTTTAAAAATTTAATTGTGATCCCTTAAAAACCGTAATAAGTTCTATTAGCTTTGAAATACGCACTTATAAAAAACGAAAAAAAAGTAAAAAGCATTTTTTTTTTCAAAACTATCGAAATTAGTAAAATAAACCACTTTCTAATTTCATATTTGAATTTTTAAATCGTTTTAAAAATACACTCACAGATTTGTATTACCCTATATCAAGGCGATGACTGACACGATAAGTAGACAAAATATATTTAAGGAAATTAAAGTTGCTAAAGTAATAAGCTCTTTCGAGACAGTGTACAATTTTTCAAACATTTTTACAACGTTCTGTCTATTTTTCAGTTATTTACTGGCATTTGAAATGTTCGAATATTTTAGGTTTTTATTCGATTTCATGTGACGCAAGTTGTTATGATCTAGAGGAAATGGTCGAAAATTTACTACAAGGTTTATCATGAATTACAACTAGTGATAAAAAAATGTTTGTAGTGCGTAATCAGTAACTTTTTTATATGCGTTCAAAGTTAAAATTTTAATAAAAATATGCACTGATTCCACTTAAAATAAATATGTAGTAGAGATATTCAACAATTTCTGACGAATTAGTTAAGGTACGAGGTCTCCCTAAAACCCCCCCAATTAATATCTATCTGCTAATACATACATAAAATTATTTTACTACAGATAAAAATAATTATTTTATTACAGTAGTTGTTTCTGTTATATTTTTTCAGTTGGGTGATTATTGGAAAATGCCTGTACCATCTAGCTATAATGATGTAACTGTAAATTCAACCATTCGAGATTACGTAGGTTGGTCTTGGTATCAGTATGAGTTTTATGTACCAAAAAGATGGTCCGATGATCAGCTTAACGTGTTTGTACGGTTTGGCAGTGTGCATTTCAAATCAATTGTGGTGGGCACTATTTTGTAATACTTTTTTTTTTTACTTTAACAAAAAACCTCATCAGCATTTAGATACTCATTCTCAGTCTAACTAATGTGAAACATATTATAGTAAAATTAAAATACTTAGAATTTTAACTGAGGTGTTTGAACATAGAGTTTAAACACAGATAACGACATTTAAAGAGGCTAATATTTTAAAAAGCATTATTTAATAATTTCCTTTTTACTAAAATTATATTTTAGAAAAGAACAATGGAAAATAATAAAGTAACAGCTATGGTAGATATGCCTTTTTAAAGGTTAGTTAACATTTTAATCCGGGGATTTTAATTCGATGAGATAATTTTGATCAGTTTTGAAAAAAAAAATAAAGTTTTTTAATCGGATTAAAAAGTCCTCAAAACGAATCAAATTGTCCCCAGGTCAAAATGTTTCTTACTCTTTTTAAATGGCTATAACTTTTCTGTTTGACAATATTCAAGACAGAAAGCAATGTGATGCACTGGTGCCCTCCAAAATATTTCCCTATTTTTAGTTTTAGCTTCTGAGTAGAGTTGAAATATATTGGTGTTCCTGTGACGAGAGCGATTTTTTGTGTGTGTGAACAACTTTTTTACTAGATATCCAGTATCAATCAAAAGATGACTAATATTTTTACTAGCCTTTTCTAGATGCGAAAAATTGTCAAAATATTCTAGCTATTTTTAAGTTATTAACTTATTAAGTTGTTATTAAGTATATAATATTTTCGAGTTCTCTTATTTTTATTTTGTTATAACTTTTACGTTGATAAACTGTTTTAGTCGAGTGGAAATAATTAAACATGTTACATAACGTTAATCTTAAGTACTGTACTTAATAGCAAAAAAAAGTTAAACGTTATTTTTTAAGTAATTATAAAATTCAAATTTTAATAGAAACCGTAAAAAATAGCACGAAATTTCCGGTATTATTTTTCATTGGTAAAAATCACGACATTTTGAAACATGTTTAACGGAACTTCGTAGAATATACAGATACTTGTACAGTTATAAATTAAATAACTTTATGCACAATGTTCATTGTACTCTACCTTTGCCACCACTACGTCCTATTCGTGTTTTGTTACGTTATTATTAAAATTGTTTAATCTACCCCCTCCCTTAAACAACCCTTGGATCTGTAATTACACTCACCAGCAGTATTCTTTTGCGATTTGTGTTTAAATTCGAATTTCAATTTAAAGTCCAAATTTTAAATTATGTTTATAGTATAACGTATAACCCTAGTTTATATCTATAAAATAGCCATGGAATTACAATAATGCTGAAAACTGCAATGCGCGTAGCCACGTAGTGATAATAATAAATATACCTACACCTTATGCAGAGTGTTTAACAAGTATGTGGCAATTTATGGTAAACAAATATTATATTATACGTTCTTATTATTAATACACTATGTTGGTATGTATACTATAACAATAGTGTATGATTGCAGTGGTTAAACGGTCAATTATGCGTTGATCATGAAGGAGGACATTTACCGTTTATCGGTGATGCTTCTCGTCTTCTTAAATACGGCGAATATAATTTAATTGTAGTTGCTGTAAATAACACCTTGAGACCAGATACCATACCCCAAGCATTTACTACATTCCCAAACAACAGTTACAAGTAATATATAGGACGTCATCCTAAATACAAACTTAAAAATTACTTTTAGTTTTTTTAAATACATATTATGTTACTTATAATAATTTATTTGTATTACAATTACAGGTATCCAAAAGGATATAGAATATATTCTCATAATTTTGACTATTTTGATTATTCTGGCATAAACAGAGCAGTCCAATTATATACGACACCAAAAGTTTATGTTTGTGACATCACCATATTGACTAGTTTTGGGAATAATTCAGAAGGTATAATATGTTTCATTTTTTTTAAAATCTAAAATCGTAAATTAAAAAGACGTCCTAAGATAATGGGGACGGGTAATGTAAATCTTTTAGCAATGATTAACTATTGTTAACGAAAAGACGATTCTGAGCGGAGTTCAGTTGATAGTGACGCTTTGTCAATAATATATATATATATATGCCATATTATAGTAAAATAATTAAATAGGTATTATATATTATTTTTTTAATAATATTTGTTACACTCTCCCATTTTCTACCAGTTTTTTTCGGTGTTTTATTTATTGAGAAGAATCTGGAGAAAATTGAAAAACGACTTCTTTAAGTACCTCCCCATGCCAATTTTCTTTCAGAAAAGATGCCACACATAAAAATCGGAGCAAGTTCTCTGGTAGGAAAGTTGTCCACAGATGAAAAAAAAAAGATATCTTTGTAAAACCATAAGCTTCTTCGCTCCACTCAGAATCCAAAATTTGACTGAATTAAATTATAGGCGATTCGAATGAAAATAACATTTTAAACTAATAAATATTTAAAATTTAATTTTTGTAAAGGTATAGTTTTATTTTTATTTTTTACTTTAAAAAATTTAATTATCTTTTAAAGGGGTTGTTGATTATAAAGTAGATATTTGTGGAAAAAATGAATCTGGATGTAATATTACACTTTTGGATGCTAATCGAAATGTAGTAGCTCAATCTAATGCGTGTTCTGGACAACTTATTATTCCAAATGCAATCCCTTGGTGGCCATTTATGTCAGGAAAACAATATATTGCCTACTTATACACATTCCAGGTATTAAACTATGCAAAATATTTATCAATTTATCTATATTTTGAATAACTATAAAATGATTATATCAAAAAATGTTGTTATTTTATTAATGTCTTTTTTTTTTTAGGTAAAAACTGACAATGAAAACTCTGACTATTATCGAATGAAAATCGGTATTCGAACTCTTCAATGGACAACAAAAGAATTATTATTAAACAATGAACCAGTTTATTTGAGAGGATTTGGAAAACATGAAGACTCTATAGTAAGTTATTATAAAATTATTTATATTGAAATATAAAATTAAAATTGAAATAGTATAAAATTCAAATTACCAATAGGTGAAAATTCACGAATTATTAGATTGTTTCTCATAATTATTTTTATCTTTACTTTGACTTATTTTTATTAGAATTGAAACACAATTTTTAATTCTTTAGGAAATGTAAAAAAAGGTATTTAAAATGCAAAATAATTGTATTTTTAGGTTAGTTTAGGTTAGGTTATATCTTTATTTACCTGGACGCGTACGACATCGCCGGTCACACAGTTTTTAGGAACCTTGAGTGGGCGGAGGAGAGGAGCGGTGTCCGGGGATTTGACGGTAGTCGAGATTCTCTGCAGCCAGTGGACATCCACATCCTGTTTTGTAATCTCGAAGGGCTGTGTAACGACCCCATTACGCCCGACTCTATCAAATTTTTGGCTATGGCAAGCCGCGGTTTGGAGGTTTTCCTCGTCATACATGATCTAGAACTCTAGTCGATAAAGTGGAATAAGTAGAAATGGTGGAATAGTAGGGTAGACCAAACCGAGGAAATCAATGCTAACGGCCTAACGTGACCCCCATTCCCGATTCGGCGGAGCTACATGGGTGAAAAAAAATATGGTTATAATTATTAAATAATTTATAACCTTTTAGATTCAGAGTGGAGCGAAGAAGCTGTGGTTTTACAAAGATGTTTATTTATTTTTGTTTTTTCTGTAGACAACTTTTCTACCAGAAATCTTGCTCCGATTTTTAAGTGTAGCACTTTTTCTGCAATGAAACCAGATTAGGGAGGTACTTTATAGAGATCATTTTTGATTTCCCTGGGAGTTTTCCCAACAAATAGGAATAACCGGGAAAAAAATGGGAAAATCGGTACAATATTAAACAAATATTATTAAAGAAAACTATTTTACCATAATATGACATATATATATTGTTGACAAAGCAACACTTGCAACTGAACTTCACTCAGAATCGTTTTTTTCGTTAGCAATGGTTTATCGTTAATTATAGATATAGTATATTAAATTCCCTTCTGTATCCTACCTTGTAACTTTCCACTTACAACAGAGGCTGCACCCACGTGCGAAATATGTCCATCGTTTTTATTATTGCATTGCCATAAATATAAAAAATTAATATTATTATTATTACAATAAACCTCGAACCAAGTGTTATATCACAGTTAGGTTAGGCGAGGATCTGGATCGGGCGGCTGTATCGTCTGGAGTGCTTTTACTGTGAGAGAAACTCTACAGATTAAAAGAAAGATATCTGAAAATGTATTTAATTTTACTAACCTTAGATTATAACTATGTCCAGTATAATGTATTAATACAATACTGATATTTTAGAAAAATAGACTAAAATAAAATAAAATATTTTGTATTATACCTAGATACGCGGAAGAGGGTATGACGATGTATTAAGTAGTAGAGACTATTATTTAATTAAATGGTTAGGCGCTAATTCTTTTCGTACATCGCACTATCCATACGCAGAAGAAACATTACAGCAAGCTGATGAAGAAGGTATCATGGTCATCGTGGAAGCCGCTGCGTGTAGTTTGAGGTCTTTCATATATATTTAATATAGTAATACACAGATTATAGGTATCTAGTTATTTAAATTCAATAATTTAATTCTTTTAATATTAACTGTTAAAAGTATATTCGGACCAAATTTATTGAAATTCCATAAGCGTATGATGACGGAAAATGTCAATCGGGACAAAAATCATCCAAGTGTCATTATGTGGTCAATAGCCAATGAGCCCCAGAATCAATTAAATTCATCTATATCGTATTTTAGGTGAGTTTTATTTTAACGAATTTAAAGAAAAACCAATAAGCTTACATAATAATACTATATCATATGGTGATAAACTTCATATTTATTTGTAAATATTAACTAGGGCAGAAGACTTGTAGCATATGCATATATTTTTGCACATTAATAAAAATAGCAGAGTACGAAACTAATTCATTATTTAACAAATCTAGTTTTGAAATTTTTTTTTGTATATAAATGCATATTTCGAGTTTTTTTTATTTTAGAGCATATTTATTTCATTTTATACTTTTAGAAGCCTATTTTAAATAATTTATCATTTCATCAATATATTTCCGCCAACGTTATAATTTCATCTTAAATACAACTAAAATATTGTTGAATTTAAAATTAATTAAACTTATATTGTATAGATAGGTATTATGGTTGTTTTATAATCATATAATATAGTTTTTTCTTGAAACACATCTCGAGGGTCGCCGATTAGATTCATTTTATTTATAAACAGTAAACACTAACAATTTTATTTTTTAGAACCAGAAGAAGAATTTTAAATAAATCAAATTTTATTAACAATTTTATAAAAAAATGATGAAAAAAAATATAAGAGCATATTTGTAGTGCATATTATAAAGTTTTAAGTACATAAGTGCTTGCATATTTAGTGCTTTTTTAGATCTACTAATCCTCTGCCTTAATAATAACCCTTCCTTATTTCTCTAGTCTAAATTCAAAACTGCTATAATTTTAACTCATTCCGGTTCTGATATTAGTGTTGTATACATATGAAAATGATCATGAAACCAAATTTGTTTATATTTAAAATTATGATATGTGATTCAGTATTCGTTTTTACTCTATTTTGTTATTACAAATAACAATTTATTTTATAGTTGTGTGTTTTATAAGAAGGTATAGTTTAAAAAATAAAAAATAAAATAAACCACAAATATAGAAATTAAAAAAAAAAAAATCTGAAACTGTTTTTCAATTTTTTTTAAAGAGAACTTTATCAACATGTGCGACTTATGGATCCATCACGCCCAATTACTTTTGTCAATAGCCAACAGATTCAAAATGCTAAAGCGGTAATATTTATATTTGAAAGTAACTGATTATTTATAGGTAAATGGATAATCAATGTTTTGGTAATTGACTCTTTCTGTGGTATACTTAATGAGAATAGTGAACAAATACAAATTTAAAAAAAATGTATACTTAAACATAAACCATAATTATAGATTCAGTATATGGATATCCTAACATTAAACCGATACAGCGGTTGGTACAGCGATTCGGGTCATTTAGAGATTATTCAATATCAAATGTATAATGAATTAGTAGCATTCACAACACAATTTGAAAAACCTATACTAATTACAGAATATGGCGCTGGTTCACTAAGTGGATTACATTCAGTGAGGATGGCATTTATTTATTTTAATTTGAAATATTTTATAGTTTTGTACAAATAATTATAAAATTAGAATATTGTAAATTTAATTAATTAATCTTCTAAATTTGTTTGAATAAAACTAAATGTATTATATTATAGGTACATATTAAGATAGGTAAAGAAAGGTCAAATATTAATATTAATATACCTAATCAATATTCTATAGCGAGTTGTAAATAATATTATTATTTTGAAGTATAATGTAAAATTCCTATTACTTAGGTTATATGAAAATTGTTGATAATAATATAATTAAGGGGATGGGTGCGATTTTCACGGAAATGTCCTTTGCTTAAAATGCTTCTTTGAACTCAGAGACCTCTATACTATATGTATATGTATACAATTTTAGTTCGAAATTTTAATAATAGAACACTGCAGAAGCGTTTACGTGATTGTGCGTAGATGACTTTCTTACATAGAACCATTTACATATGTACGTTATATTTATAAATAATATCGTTTTAATTTTTCTATGATTAAAAAATAGTATTACGGAGTACCTTGTTATTTTTCGTTGTAGATCAATATATTTGGTAAAAACCATTTCTAAATAAAACTGAGCATTAAGGAATATTTAAAATTAAAAGTTATACTTGTAATTTTGTTTGTATTCTTATAATAATTATTATTTATTATAATGTTCATATTATTCAAAAGTAATGAATAAATTAATAATATCCAAGTTCTTTAATCATTTAAATTCAAATAGAATAGGTAAGGTTAGGTTTACTGTTTGATGCAAGAAGGGCATTTTCATGACCAAATATCTCTTTTATTCAAAACTTAGAGTGGTCACAAAGAATGAGCAGATCCAAAAGAGTGTCACATTAGAAACTTCGGTTATCCTAAAACATATTTTTCTAGAAAATGTCCTTCTTGCACCCAGCTTCTCAATTATTTAAAGCATGTTAAACAAAATATATTTATGCAGGTGTATTGTATTTAGAAAATAATTATTTAATCCTATATTTGTATTATTACATAAATCAAGCTGCCGGAAACGATGTGGAGTGAAGATTTTCATGTTACTATGCTTCAAGAGAATTTTAAAACGTTTGACTCATTAATTGCAAATAATATCCCTCTTTTAGGAGAAATGATATGGAATTTTGCAGATTTTAAAACACCTCAAGGTAAATTAATTTTTAAAACCATGACGTATTTTAAAGTTAGTTATACATTTGTATTAAACTATTTTTTTTATTTTAGAATATATAAGACCGGGTTTGTGTGTAAAAGGATTGTTTACCAGGGAACGACAACCGAAGATGGCTGCATATGTGGTCAAAGAACGTTATAATAAATTTACAAGTAATTCTGCAGTGCAGAATGAAACCTTAAAGTGTTATTCAATGAATACATTGCCATATGTTAATCAAATTGTTTAATACAGCTAATAATAATATATCAGTAGAAGTATTTGCAAGAGATGAGTATTTGAAAACAAACTAGGTATTATTTAATAGTAAAATTGTTTTAAAATTAATGCAAAATTTAAAAGAATACATTATTGAACAAAAAAAAAAAAAGGGTTTCTAAGAAACTACAAATCATTTGTGTAATAAAATGAAAGTTATTTTTAAAAAACCTCTGTCTAATTTTATTATTTTTTATGAATACAATTTATAGCATTACATTGGTTTAGATTAGGTTTACACAATAAGAATAATTAATATAAAATAGATATACCTAATATATTACCGAATCATCATAACCTATCTTATTCCTGGATATGAACCTAATAATTAATGATAAAATTTGATATGATTGTAAATAATTATTACAATACTATAGATAATAATAACAATTGCACACATACTATTTAATGAATTCAGTAACTTAATAGTTAATATTGTTAGTTATCAAAACGTACCTAATTAACTTAGATAAATTTTAAAAATTTAAATTATTAGTTAAACAATGATGATTTTTTTTTTTTATTTATGTGAACAACTTTTCTAACAGAAATCTTGCTCCGGTTTTCAAGTGTAATATGTTTTCTGAAAAGAAATTTTATATGGGTGGTACTTAAAGTAGGTCATTATTTGATTTTCCAAGAGAAAAAATGAAAAAAAGCAGTAAAAAAAAAAAAAAATTTACGAAATATATTATTTTTAATTTTGTTTTTTTGTTGCCATTCAGATAAAAATATTCGTAGAGACGAAATTTAGACAGAAAACTCATATTAGACTTTTCTAAACATAGTAACATCTTAGTCATTTTTGAGCTATTTATAGACATTTAAATTTAGCCAGTATTTATTTAGTTTTAATTTAGTACGTCCTCTGTAGGCTTAGGTTAGGTTATGTTATAAATTAAAATTGTTAGACCAAACAGAAATGTTTAAAAATTTAACAGGAGGTTTATCATAAGTCATACTTTATGGTAAAAAAAAAATGAGTTCAATGTAGAATTTTTTTTTTATACAAATTTTTGTACTAAATTTCACAAAATAATACACCCTTTTAAAACATGTGATAACGAATTCTCCTCAGAGTCGTTCTAAAGTGTTAGAAATTAATCCCTGTGTACAAATATAAATTAAATTTCTGTCTATATCCTACCTTCCCAACTTCTCACCTACAACAGTGGCTCACCCATCGTGTAAAGTTTGTCTGGTTTTTTTATTAATTAAATTAATGCATTTCAAGTTTTGTTAAAATTATTTCATACAGTTAGGTACTATTAATTCACAACTTCAGAATTAAAAAAAAAATGGTGTCCTAGGAAAGGTAAAGCCACTGTAATAGGTAATTTAATGTATATCTGTAAGCAAAGATAAAACATTGATAATGAAAAAACGACTCTGAGCGGAGTTAAGTTGACAGTATTGTTTTGTCAACAATATATATGCCATATTATAGTAAAATAATTACATCTCTGGTCAGGAGCACGTTTAATATTTTATTTGTAATTTTTTTTTAATATTATTATTAAAGACAATTTAGAACATAACTATTTCTTAAGCATACTTGTCGGGTGGTAACCCAATCGGAATAAACCATCGATTTTAGCGTCTCCGGTCATAAAAGATCCTCGTTTTCAGTAGAAGTTTCTTTGTAATCATCATCGCAATAGAAGGCGTGGCTGAGAATACGAACACGATTAATTTGTATTGCTCATAAATTGTGTCGATCGGACAGTTTTTGACAATGTTTTCAGACAATGTTTTGGTCGTATTTTTTTTGATTTTAACGTAAAAGTTAGAAACTAAAAGGTTGTTTTCATCGAATCGCACAGTTTTTCAAACGGTGCTGGACAAGATCGAATTTCAGACGAAGACTATAAACAAAACGGTCCGTGGGCAAATGCATACCTCACGACGCACCGCTGAGTGTTGTACGCCGGCCAGCACTCAACGGTCACGACATTTCGGTTGTTTTTGTTTTTTACCGCAATCAGAGATTGCTTATTATAAGACTACTAGGAGTGATCGCTTCTGGTCCAAAAAGGGGTGGGTACGTAGAATAGCATGGCGGACAATAATTTCAGAGGCATTACGTATATAAATCTGTAACCTATAGCATAAAACCCTAATAACCTTATAGTTCATAGATATATTAGTATTATTAAATTAAAGATGAGTATCTACAACTAAGTTAAAACCTTGAGACCAAAATTTTTACTTCAGAAGTCCAGGTATGTTTCATTCAAATGTTAATATTATGAAAATAATATTTTTCAAGTTCTGAAACCAATGACAATGAAGATGTATTTTAACCACAGTCGATTTGTGAACTATTTCAGTGCATTGGATTTTTAAAAACGATTTTAATTTAAATACATATTCATCTTTTGAAAGTAAAAGATTTGTATGGCCAGAAGACTTATCAATGAGTAATTGAAAAATCAATTAGCTTAAATACCGAAAGACTATACCAGTGTTTCCCAAAGGAAGTGCCGTGAAATTTGAAAGATGTGTCGTGACAACTTGAACTATTTTCTATTAAAACACTATTGTAAAATAATCATATAATTTCATTATAAACAATTTTTGGAAATATTAAACATAAAATATAATGGAATAAAACTAGTTTGAGTACGACTAAAATAGTATTAATTTAATATCATACCTCCAAATTTTAGTGTGAAACGTGTGCTTGGTGCTGTTTGCACAATAGATCAATTCGAAGAGGGATTGACGATAAACACACGCTCATTTTTTGTTCATCTGATAAAAGTCGTTCAAGTGTCTTATTTTTGATATTGGTTAGGGCGGAAAACCCAAGTTCACAGAGGTATGTTTTAGAAAATGGCGATAGCGTATTTATTGCTATTTATGTAATTATGGGATATTTGATTTTAATAACTTCAAAACTGAAAGAGTCATTCAATTTTAATTTCAATGAACGATCAGATTGAAGTTCTAAAAGTTGCTCTTGTTCAACTAATCCTAGATGAAGTATTGTATCTGATGTTATTGCAAAAGCATTGCACACCCAATCATATTCGTTAATAGGAAAAAATGGGAAATAAACTTGGTCTTAAACCACTTAGATTTAGAAAATTGACAATATTTATCTATAGTGTGCTGTGACTTATATTAAATAATAATAATGTGCCACAATGGCAAAATGTTTGGGAATCACTGGGCTATAGAAAAGACAGTGTATTAAAACGATTTTAATTTACAACACTGGTGTGGGAACTTTTTGGAAAATACCAGTACTTGGTTAAACAGAGTTTTTTAGTTATCTTTTTAGTTGACGAGAAAATTTACGAAAATAATTCTTTTATTATTTAAAATTTTGTTTTTTTAATGTAATTACGTTTAAAATATTCATAGAGACTAGAAAAGTTGACAGAATACTTATATTTATTTTTTCTAAATGCGGTAAAACTTTCAGAACATTTAAATAATTTATGAGCTATTTATAGACATTTATATTTTGCGAGTTTTTTACGTAATTTTTATTTGATAGATACTCTGTAGATCAAAAACGGATAGGCATGATCTCTACGACCTGGGAAAAATAGAATCACATGATCATATCCAAGATTCAACAAAAAAATTAAAATTACATCAACCTTGAGTGCACCAACACCTACATCTTTTTTTGTTAAGAAAAAATATAAATTAATTATTACACTATTCTAATTTCGATAAAAAATTTAGGGTGCTAAAAAAAAGGTCTTCTTTATACCATTACGGAATTATCTATATGAAATTCCAGAATTTGAACTTGGTATAATATGGAAGGAGTTTAAATGATAAAACAATTTTCATTTTCATTATTTTTATTTGAGTATTTCGTACAATAAATGTATTAATGAAAAATTATTTCTAATTTCTGGTACTTATCCCTATAAGCATGCACATGTTTTCTTGGCAGGGGAGATAATGATTTTTAAAAACAAACCTTACACATATAAATCATAAGCAAAAATAATGCCAATATTTTTGAAGGTTGGTTAAGTTTCAATACCTAATATTGATTATGTATATTTAGTGTTTACTTTATGAGGACTTTAATTTAGAAGGCTTTGTTGAGTATTCGGGAGGGGGGGTCAAATTCCTTTAAAGGCCCCTCCCCCTTTTTGCGTCAATACATAAAATTAAGAGTAACTTAGGGGTTATATATTTTTTAAAAAAAATATTTGAGGGAAAATTTCGCAAGAGAGACCTCCCTCGTCCCTTCCTTCGTGATCTATTTTCGAGTAATTGTAAATATTTAAAAAATAATTTGAACTAAGTTTTATTCGATTAATTACGAAAAATGTATACACATATTTCCACCTAAATATCATTACTTGTACGGTACAGGTTAGGTTAGGTACTTTTGTTCTGCTATCCAGTACTAACGGGATACTAACAATTGGGCCATGAAGAATGTCATATTTTAAAATTGGGGGGGGGGTGGAGAAATATACGTGACTGTAAAGTATATGTACATTTTGTAAATATTATCCAATAATAATTATAAATGTATAAATAATAATAAATTAATAAAAGCTGTTATTTAAATAGGTGTAAATTATAATATGAACAAATGTACTTACCTAAACTCCAGAATTTAAATTCAAATAGATTACTATTTATTTCTATGTAAATTATGTCAAATGACAGTGGAAAGCCAAAAACAGAATGTAGTGATTAGTTAAACAAAATTTCATTGTAACGTCTGTGTTCAATTACTAAGTACGGTATAGCTACTTTTATTTAGGTATATATAGTTGATGACAGCAACCGTGAGACAAACTCAAAAATAATATTAAAATTTCAAGATAAACACCAGTGATGGTAATTTAGTAGTTATACAATGATAATTTATTATGATTTAAACTAGATTTAATTAAAAAATACCGTATTATTGTTTTTTTTTTGAAAAAAAAACTTTTAATATTCATGTATTGAGCTGTATGTATACAGCCAATAGTAGTATTTTTCATCGGCACATTTTCGGCAATAAAAGTAGCGGCCAACCGAGAAAATCCCAGTATCCCGGTGAGCCTATCCGCGCCTGCAGTAGATAAATAGTTAGACTTAACATAAATGCTTGAAAATTGATAGGTGGTTCATTATGAGTCTTACATTGTGGTATGAAAAAAAAAAAAATTAGTTTAATGTAGTATTTATTTTTTTATTTTTTAGTTTTAAAATCAAATTTGTACGAAAATTGTAAATATTATGGCATTTCAAAATATATGTAACCAAACTTTGCTCCGAATCATTTTTCGTTATCAATGGTTTATTGTTCGTTACAGGTATAAATTAAATAAGTTTATGTAGCCCACCTACAATAGAGGCTGCACCCGTCCCCAATATTAGCTTTTTTTATATTTATGTATTTATGTACCTATAATTCAAAAAATGTAAACTATCAACATATGTTTAAACATCTGGATATATCTAACATAAATGTATATTCCCTATTACCTAAATATACGAGTATTAGTGTCGCATGTATTAAAAAATTGATCTGTTTAAACAGTACCTATAATATAATTTTGGTGTAAAGTGAATGAATTTAATAATTTATATAGTTAAAAGTAGATATTTACTAAAATATTTTATTATGAAATAAATTTGATTGTATTTCTTTAAATTAAATTTTTAATATTTGTGTTGTGAAAAATATCTGAATAAAACACTATAATGCATTCATACAACATTATTATTCGTAAAAATCGTAAAATGTTATTGTATAGTGCACTTATATTTTTGTTGACCATAATAATTGCATTATATTTGTTTGATATTCGAAAAAAAGTATGACATACCTATCATTATAATATTTTGGGCTAGGACAGGGGTGTCTAACCTTTTGTGAAGAGTGGGCCACATCATGTAAGTAAAAGTTGTTGTGGGCCACATACTTTTTAATAATAATAAATCTTATTTATAATTTTTAGTATAGTGAATAATGAATAGAAATACGTAGACGAATTATTACATACTATTTATAATTACAAGAAAAAATATACATTAATTTATGATTACAAGAAAAAAATTTTAAAATAATTTAATTGTTATTTTAGTTACATTAGTTTCTTTATCGAATTCCAATAAAGATAACATTTTCATATAATAGTTTATACTACTAAATAATATTAAAAGTTTTAATTTTTATACATTTTGTTATTTTATATTATTAAAATACATTTTTTTTCATAATATTATATATAATTAATTGATGATTTGAAAATTGAAATTGAAGTTAAGGCCATATTAAAATCTACGGTGGACTGCATGCAGCTCTGTGGGCCGTGGGTTGGACACCCCTGGGCTAGAATTTTAAATTATTGAACTAATTTCTAAAGATAATTTAAATGTATGATATGCGAGATTAGTATTTTAATATTTTTACAATTTAGATTCTGAGTAAAGCTTATTCATTAATTTTTTGTTTGTATCTGTGTGCAACTTTGCTATCAGAAATCTTGCTCCGATTTATAATTATTTTAGATGACTTTTTTTGAAAGGAAATCTAACTGGGGAGGTACTTAAGGAGGCCATTTTTTAATTTTCTTAGGAGTTTTCTAAATATATTGGAAAATCCGGAAAAAACCGGGAGAATGAGAAAATAGGTACTATATTAACAATTATTTTTAAAGAAAATGTTTAATGCATATTTTATCATTTTACCAAAATATTATGAGATACCTGTATATTGTTGACAAAGCAATTCTATCATCAGCAATGGTTTTTTGTTGCTAACTGGTATACATTAAATATTCCCGTCTGTATCTTACTTTCCCAATTTTCCACCTACAACAGTAGTTTCACCTACGTGCTAAGTATATCCGTCTTTTTATAATTGATTGTGATATTTTCAAAGTTAAAAATACTTTGCACCTATTTGATTTTGACATATCCTCAATAATTATTGTTCTAAAATATATTCTAATTCCCTTTTTCTGTTCGAGTTTTATGCCATAAAATTATATTAATTGAAAATTTTGTTAATATTTTCCCAGTATCTCTTAGTAACTGACACCAATAATGGTAAGTATTTAAAAAATTATTTTAATAATAATTGTAAAAAAAATTTAATATTTTCTAATTTAAATGCAGCTTTATTTTTTGAAAGTAAAAGATTGGTATGGTTGGAACAATTACCAATTGGCGATAGAATTAAAAATCAATTAGATTATATACCAAAAGGCTACAATTATGAGAAGACACCTGTTAAAACGATTTTAATTTATACCGGAATGGGTGCCTCTTGGGAAAGACCATTACTTGGCCAAGGCCTTTTTTTCGGTTGTCCTGTAAGTCAATGCATGTTGACAATTAACAATTCATTAGCCCCGCAAGTTGATGCTGTGCTATTCAGACATGTTTACGTCCCTCCGTCTTATAAAAGACCACGAAATCAGGTATTTATATTTATTTACATAACTATAATAATTGAAATTATTTATATAATTTGTATGGTTAAATTAATCATAAATTTAAATTATGTTTCTTAAAATTTATAAGTGCAGTAAATGACGATATTTTTGTATACTTAGTTACTTAGATTTACACAACATTAATTGTTGTAGAGCAATTTAAGGAGTATCCTGTGGTGGTAACAACATTGGTTTTATTAAATAAGAACCTATATGTTATGATGCAAATTATGAAAATTTGGCTTATTTAAATCGAAATTTGTCTGAGTTATTCCGCTTTAAATACTAAAGATAATAACATTTTACCGGGATTAAATAAGAAAAATGAATTAATGGAGAAATAGGTTTTCTCATCCCTTTCTGTTTGACTACTCCCGAATTGTACACAAAGTTAATAAATTCATAGACCTATGATATATATAACAGTCACTATTGACATTCCGAATTATAAGAATTTAGTAGTAGTTTAAAGTTTATTTATTACAATAGCTGTTAGTTTAATATTTTAGATTGTACAAATTGTTGACTGATTTATATTGTATTATTTTATTTAAGTTATAGATTATAATACTGTGCTTTTTTTTTTTAAGCATATGTATACTGCAGATTTAAGAACGATGATGTAGTCAAAATTAAGTGGACTGACTAAGCTTCGAAATTATAACTTTTTGACGTTCTGATATTCTGCGGATATTATATGTTATGTTAAATAACTCTATAATACGTATATGTTTTAAGGCATATTTGTCGTAATCTAATGGTTATACATACTATTATCGTCATAGGGGTCCCGTGTTCGAATCGGGTTTCAAAAAAAATTGTTTGAATCTTTTTTCTCTTTTACCTAAACAAGGAAAAATTTTGTGTGTATCTAGACACCCAATCCATCGCTCACTCGAATTTTTTTAATTGCAAAATAACCCACAATCTGTTGTGCAAACTTTTCTACCAGAAATCTTTCTTCGATGTATCAAGTGTAGTTTATTTGCTGAAAGGAAATTTTATCTCCATGATAATTTAGGGAGGTGATTTTTTTATTTTTCAAGCGGTTTTTATAATATCTGAGAAAAACTTGGATAAAATGTCGGAAAACCGGAAAATGTACGACATGTAGGTAGGTATTAGTAAAAAAAATTATGGCATTTTTTTCTGTGTACAACTTTAGTACCAGCAATTTCACTCAGATTTAAAATAATAGCACTTTTTCTAAAAGGATTTCTGACTGAGAAGGTACTTCAAGGAGGTCATTTTTTGACTTTCTTAAGAATTTTCCCAGAAAATGTAAAAAATCGTGAAAACTATTTGATCCCCGAGAAAAACGCAGGAAAAACGAGAAAAATGGGAAAATCGGTAAAATTTTAAAAAAAATATTATTAAAGAAAATATATAATGATTATTTAATTATTTTATCATTACTTCACATATATATCGTTGACAAAGTATCGTTATCGACTGAACTCCGTTCAAAATTGTAATTTCGTAAGCAATAGTTTATCGTTGCTTACAGGTATACTTTAAATTACTTATAATAGTGGCTGCACCCGAACCAATTATCTTAGGATATCTTTTTTTTGTTATTTTAATTTTCAAGCTAGATATAACCATTTTTTGGATGCGTTTTTTTAGATTTGGATTATTGAACATACTGAACCACCCTTTTTGACAGTGCCTATAAATGATAACGGTGTTTTTAATTGGACTGCTAACTATCGTTGGGATAGTGACATACCGCGACCTTATGGGTATTTTAAAAAATATGAACCTGAACAACCAGTGCCAAGTATTGTCAAAAATTATGCAGAAGGTAAAACTAAACTAGTTGCTTGGTTCGTGTCAAATTGTCAACCCTTTAATAAACGCAACGAATATGCTGCTGAACTTTCAAAACATATTACCGTGGATATATATGGTAGATGTGGTACTCTTACATGTTCAATAAATGATACAAGGAAATGTTTAAACATGTTGAATAAGAATTATAAATTTTACTTAGCTTTTGAAAACTCGAATTGTAAATATTATATAACGGAAAAATTGTTCACAACTTCACTTGGGTAAGTTTAAATTATTAATATAATATACTTTCATACCTATTTAGAATAAATAAACATTATAATATTGTTATTACTTAAAGATATTATAATTAATTATTATTTTAGATTTTGAGCATGTGTCAGCATGTTTTTAGTTTTATATCAATGTGTAATATCTGTGTGTATCGATATATTTTTAAGTAAATTAATAGCTTCATTAATGTCATATGGTTTATCTGTTTTCTATCAAATTATATTAAAATATTAAACTGAAACATTTTTAATTTGAAGGAATCAATTTAGGTTTTGAACGTTTAGTTTTAACAGCTCAGTTTGGTTTAATGCAAACAATTTTTTTTTATAAACTTGGGTATTGTATGTTGGTCCAATAGCTCACAGTATAATATAATCGTTTAAAGGTATATTACTTATATCATGTATTTCTTCCATTCGTGTGTATGTCATTAAACTCTTCTTAAACCGCTGGACCGATTTTGATGAAATTTTTTATGTGTGTTTGAGTGGGTCTCTGGATGGTTTGGATTCAAAATTGGACCTGATAGGTTGCGTTGCAAAGGTGTCTGATCCAGGGTTATTGGTATTTCTAGTATAGCGACAAAATTATTTTTGTTGATTTATGGGTTACCTTGGTGATACAAATTCAAATTGAAAAACAAAAAAATAGTAAGTTGTTGTAAGTTGTAAGTTGTAAGTTGTAAGTTGTAAGTTGTTATAAAATTGAAGTGTCTATCTAATATAAAATGAATTAATAAAGATCCACCAGAGGGTGTTACGAGAGTGATACAGTACGCGCTTTATAGAGTATGACCCACACTTGAAGTCAAAGCAAATCTGTCACTATGTTTCAGTAATAGCAAATCACCATGTATCTTATATATAAAATTCTCGTGTCTCGTTTATGGTCGCCCTCCAAACGGTATGACCGATTTTGACGAATTTTTTGTTTGTTTATTTGGTAGGTATGAGAATAGGTCGTAAATTATTTTTAACCCTCCCAACCCCATCCGCCATTTTTTAATCGTGATTTTAGTATTTTAATTCGATATTTAGGTATTATTAAATCATTTATTTTTATGGATTACCTTAGTTACACGGAAAAAAATGTAAAAGTTTGGTCAAAATGTATTTGTGGTAATTAATATAGATAAATATAATTCTATAGACCACATTGTTTTATGCAATAAAATGCAATATTATAAACTGTCTTCACGTAATTTCATCAATAAGACAGTAAGTACAACAATTTTGTCTATTTGTGTATGTGTTACAATAAACAATGACAGCAAGACGCAAGGAGGCCCATTTGGGCCGTCGAATGAATAAAACAACACACATGCGAAATAGTAGAGCAGAAGAAAGAACAGACAATTAAATCCAATAAGATAACGGAAATGTGCATATGAGCATGTCGTAATTACGTGTATCTTGATCACAAGATGCACGAGCCGAACGCAATGAACAACGACGTTTGGAGCAAAGGCAAGCGCGCCGTTTCTTAGAAAACACACGCAGTGCAAATGACCGATAACGCCGACATCGAACATTTATATCTGATTCGTTCCTTCGTCTGGTATTCAAGTATGAGCCAGATATTGAATATTACGCTCATTCGAAAGTGACGATTGGTGCTATAGACCAGGAAAGTCCCCATTGTCATGCGCTTAAATTCAAAAATGAGCCAGCCGGGATATGTTACGCGCCACTAAAAGTGCAACTACCAGTAATAGAAACACCACCAGAACCGTTGAACGGCTTGCTCATCGGCACAAATCCAAATTCAAACTTATTCCTGAAGTCCATTCGCACATTCAATTCATGCTTTCAAATGACATCGTTTGGAGTAATACAAATAGTCAAAAATAATGCGCCAAATGGTCGACAATTCAATTCAACATTTAAAATCAAAGGTCAAGGGTATCACAAAGTGGGCTTAATGTTGCCAATGGCGGATAAACCACGTACATTTTTACACATTTATTTCATGGGCGGAGAGGACAAAGAAAGCGCAATTATAAATCGCTTAGATGCATGTTGCGGATACTATAATCTCAATTCACATAGTGCCAGGCGCATCATTGGCGAGTTGGACGAACTATTGAATGAGTACAATGTATTATTGAGATTCTTCAAATCACACATGCATGAATTACAAACTGACAACCACGCTATTGTTATCAATCCCGACAAAAAACCAGCTTAAGAGCACGTGCGTAGATTCAATGCATCTGTTGTTGACGACGTTGCTGGAATCATGGTTGGCGACCGTACAGCTGCGCGAGAAATCGCGATTCGAAGAAGAAATAATAATCTTGAGTTCATTACAAACACACATCGTTCATACGACACTTTCCAATATCCGCTAATTTTCTTGGAGGGGTTTAACGGATATTGCATAAACATTAAACAACGAGATCCCGTAACAAGTACTTCATTCATTATGAACATTATTACTCATATTACTATACATATGCACACGGACTATTATACCGATAATATACGGAAGTACAATTCTGCCTTTCATGAAGAAATGTTATAGTAGAAAACTATTAGTTTATCTAATACTATTCCATCTATTTGTTTTTATTTGTTATTATTCATTACTGACATGGTCAAAACCAAAAAGAGTTATGGGTCAAAAATGACACGGGTAACGCTGGGTGGGACACTTAGTAATATATAAAAGCGAAAATGGAAATCGTTGTTACTGGTTGGTTTCGAAACTACTCATCCAATTGGCATGTAGTTTGTTTTTAAATGAAAAAGTATTTTGTGGAGAAGCTATTAAGTTATTAAAAATATCAATCGGACCAGTTCAAGAAGTAGACCTGACCTGCAGTAGTTAGGGCTGGATAAAAAAATAATAACTTATCGGGTATTTATCAATGTTGAGCAACCATATAACCAATTTATATGAGTTTGAAAATGAAAATGAAAGTATGTATTTTTTAAAAACTAACTACAGTGATAGTGATGAGGATAGAGCCAGAAAATCCAGGGGAAATCATTTTTATTACACATTTATTTGGGCGGGACAACTAGTATTAATATATTTTAGGTTCTTAGTGGAACGAAGAAACGTATGGTTTTTCAAAGATGTTTATTTTTAGATTCTAAGTTGAACGAAGAAAATTATGATTTTACAAAGATATTTATTTTTTTTTTTTTGATATATATATGTGTGCAACTTTTTTACCAAAAGACTTGCTCGGATTTCTACGTGTTGCACCTTTTCTGAAAGTAAATCGGAGTGGGAGATACTTTAGGAGGTCATTTTTTGATTTTCTAACAAGTTTTTTTATCAAATTTAAAAAATCAAAAAAAAAACGGAGGAAAAACGGGAAAATGTAAGAAATGTAGGTATTAGTTCAAATATATTACGGCCTTCTTTTTTCCTGTGAACAACTTTTTTACCAGAAATTTTTCTGAAAGGAAATTTGACTGGAAAGATACTCCAAGGAGGTAATTTTTTGATTCTCATAGGACTTTTTTCAGCAAATATAAAGGTTCAGAAAAAAATATGGGAAAAACGGGAAAATTAGTATATTAAACAAATATTATTAAAGAAAATATTAAAAACCTATTTAATTATTTAACTACAATATGATATACATATTGTTGACAAAGCATTACTGTATCAACTGAACTCCGTTCAGAATCGTTTTTTTCGTAAGCAATGGTTTATCGTTGCTCACAGGTATAGATTTAATTACCTATAACAGAGGCTGAATCTATCCCCATTATCCTAGGATGTCTTTTTTTGTTGATTCTGAGCTTAATGAAGGATCAATTGATTATACTGTGGTATTACCTGTCTCTAATCATCTTTTCGACCAAAGTATATAATATATCATAAATGTATTTGTTGCATTTTGGATTGTTTTCAAAGCAGTTTTCATAATAATTGAGAAAAACCGGAAACTAAATTTACAAAATTATAATAACTGATAAATATTTATGACATCCCGTCGCGTTAACGATTTCAACACTTAATTTTTACGCTTTTTGTTTTCCACCAGAAATCTCGCTCTTATAAAAAAAAAAAAAAAACCAAGAGATAATTTTTGTTTGATTTTGGATCTAGTTGCTAGGAAGTAAGTTTTTTTTTTATTTACCATGCAATTGTAATCATGATTGAAAAATTACCCTGAGAAAAACGTAGGTGGAACGGAAAAGTTTACCGAAATTATATGATTTAATTATTTTAAATTTGGCCTTTTTTTTGTAACTTAGTTAAAAATATACGTAGAGGCTTGATATTCTGACAAAATATGTATGTTTGCCTTTTCTAGACATCAGAAAGCTGTTAAAAGATTTTGGAAATTTTTATAATATTTATAGTCGTTTTATATTTGTGTGTTTTTTTTATAGATTTTATTTAGCAAGTACCTGCTAAATAACCGCATTTCAAAATTAGTTTAATCGAACTTTGTTCAGGATTGTTTTTAGCAATGGTTTATCATTTCTTACAAATATAAATTGAATTACCTTATGTATCTTACATTTCCAACTTTCAGCCAATAACAGTGCTACAGTATCAGGAGTATTAGCTCTTTTCGATTCATCCATTGACACTCACGTAGCGAGTGAAGGTGTTCATTGGGTATTCAATCCCTCTTCCCTCTTCTGACACAATTAAGGCTTCTAATCAAAAAATCTGACTATTGGTAATCGGTGATAAAATCTATTTTTGGACCCTCTTCCGAAACAAAAGTCCTTGTTACGTGCCTGTAAATTGAATCATATTACAAACGATTAATTTTTAAACATTTTTAATTATTTACAGTCGTAATTTGTTGCCAATTGTCATGGGCGCATCTCGGATGGAATATGAATTAGTTGCGCCTAACCATTCGTTCATACACGTTGATGATTTTAAATCTGCAGAAGATTTAGCTATGTATTTACACAAATTGGACAAAAATGATGAGTTATACAATGAATATTTTAAATGGAAAGATACCGGTACAATCGTTATATATAACAAATTGTATTGTCGGATTTGTGCAATGCTTCACGATAAAGATCATCCACCAAAGCACTATACCAATCTCTCGAAATGGTGGAGTGGTCCTGATGTTTGTCATCCATAAAAACAGTATAATTTGAACTGTGGACTATTTCATATTATTTTAGATACAATTATGGATTTAATTTTTGTATTTATACTCGTAATTGTATTTTACTGATCATCAAAGTTAGGTTAGGTTAGGTTAGGTTAGGTTTTACTTAGTTATAGCTACACAAACAAAATTTGTTATTAATTATTATATTTTCATTTGTTTGGTAGAATATAGAAATATTTGAAATTATAAAGAAATATACAATTAAAATGTCTACAAATGTTCTTAAATATTTTTTTTTATATTATAAAAACTTAATTTATTATTAGTATTTAAGTGCAACTATACATTAACCGTAATAAAAAATACTTTTATGGTGCATATATATGTTGAAATATTACTATTACATGTTGTTATGTTTGATAATTTTTTTAGATTCTGAATGTATCAAAGAATATATTGGTTAGGTTAGGTTAGGTACTAGTAAGTACCTTTAATAACTATGCAGTTGGTAACCTAACAAAATTTTTGTAGATAACGACCTTCCTGATTCTAGGTTAATGATATATATTTTTTTTTTTATTAAGTTAACTGTTTGCATTAATAATATACTAATCTAGGTAATGAAATTAAAGAAAATTATCTTTAATATACATTTGATTGCCTACCTAGCTACTTATTTAGGGGAGAGTGGGCCAAATTTACTAATTCAATAATTATCTTGGACTATCTTTAAGAATTATTTTTCGCTCGCTTGTTCGTTCAATTTTAAAGTACTGTGCTGTTCTTTGCAGGGATCCACATACTTCATGTAAGTTTCCTCATCAGTTTGAATTGATACAAAGAAATTTCCTTAGGTTTGCTGGATTTATATTACACGTACACCATCCGCCGCACAATTACAACCCTGTTTCCTAATTTCTTAATATGGGCATCTTTGCTTTGACGAAGAAATACTCTTTGGTCCAAATTTTTAATGGATTATTATCAGGAAAAGTAGATTTTTCCTTCACTCTTAAGTCTAATTAACTTCAGAGAACTACAGCGAAATACAATAAATACTACTCCTTTTAACATTACTTCTTGCGTCTCTAATTACTTAGCGAACGAATCATCAGAAAATTAATGTATCTTGCTAATGTCGGCACTTCCCGTCTTTGTTAATATTTTTCCCAAATGCAATATTTACAGTAGAACCTCAAAGGGCCAGTTCTGTATACCAATAAATAAAGTATAAGCATATTATATGAAGTTTAAACACTATACAAAATAAGATATGTAACTATAAAATCTTATTTTATAACTTATAAACTGCATGTACATTAGACATCATATTAAATATGTATGCAATCCATAACATTCATAAAAAATGACAAGATTTTCGTTAAAATGAGAATATTAAACGCGTATAAAAAAAGATGACAATATGGTAATAGGATAATAAGGTCGGGTGGAGTCACTTTTATAAGTAATATAATGTACAGATGTAAGCAACAATAAACCATTGCTAACGAAAAAACAATTCTGAGATGGTGCTGCTTTGTCAACAATAAACATGTCATATTATAGTAAAATTCTAATTATTCCAATTCCAAAATTAAAATAGATCCCGTTTTTCCTCCATTTTTTTTCGCTTTTTAACATTTGCTAGGAAAACTCTTGGGAAAATAGAAAATTACATCCTTAAAGTACATTATCGGTCAGATTTCTTATCAGAATAAGTGCTGTCATTGTAAATTGGAGCAAAATTGCAGGTAGAAAAGTTTTTCGCAGGTACAAAGAATACTAAAATATCTTTCAACAAGAAAAAAAAATAAACATGTAAAACCAATGTATTCTGAGTGTAACGAAGAATAAATAAACATCATTTTAATACCAATACATTTCTCGCTTTGCTCAGAATCTAAAAAACTTCATTTTAAAACCAATATATTCCTTAGAATCTAAAATTAAGCACAAGTGAGTAAATACTGTCTCACTAGAAAATACTTATTTGGTTACTACTCCATTCCATGATGTACAGAGAATAAAACTGTGTTAAAATATGGTGGCTATTTTGATCTTTTTCAAAAAAAAAAAAATCGTACATAAACTTTTTAAGACTAAGTAAAAACACTAAATTTGAAACTACTGATAATAAGAATAAGAACATGATTAATAAATTGTGTTATTTATATTATCTCATATAATCGTGTAAACCATGTGATCAGTTTATGACCTTATTTATGCAATGGAATATACGAGAGCTGTTTTGGAACAGTGAAAACAATTTAGGTGTTGAAATCCCTCCGAAGTAAAGTTAATTTTTTTGTTCATTATGTAGATACAATAACGGAAGTTCTTTAAATTACGTTTCGTCGTGTAGACGATGATAATATAACGTGTGAGACTTTAATTTGAAATAACGCCCATACATGTAAAGTGCCCTAAAAGTATTTTAATATGCAGACGTGGGCTCAATTTTCGTCTGCAGATATACTCTGTAGTCTGCAGTAGTTTTCGGCGTTTGTGCTAGCAATTTTCATTCATACTCAATACTGTAATTCGTAATAAACTTATACACGAAATAAAATAGCTATATATAACGGCTTATGGCTAATAATAGTTATTAAAGTGGGTAGAAATCAATTATTCAAGTTTTAAGCAAGCGAAATGATGGGAATATGTTGAACTGTCTATTTATAATCTATAATACTGTTGATTATAAACAAACCTTTTTGTAACTAATAACTTATAAGTATGATTAAAGTTTGAATTTTGCCACCCTCCCCCTAGAAGATTAGCTGAAAACGTCCTTGTATTTTTATTATTTTTACAAATGATAGTACTTACTTTATGTTGTAATTTTAAAGTTAGCAAACCTGCAAGGCAATTTTCCGTAATAATATTTTTCAAATAAAATTAGTTTTTAAAAACACAAACATAATATTTTTTATAATAACCTTGCCGTTTTCGTAAACAAAAGGGAATTTTTTCTTTGATTGTATATTATTTTAGCCACCTACTGGTATTATACTGAGGTAACGTATTATTTATAAATCATAACACACCGCCGGTCAACACTGCACACGTTCTCGCAACGAACGCACATCGTTATCAATATATTTACTGTTTTATTTATAATTGTAAAAATAAAACAATAAATAAATCGTGATAAAATATCCAATGAGTATAAAAAATATGGAAATTACTTAACACAAAATAAAAAAAAATAAAAATGTTAACCATTTTTCGGTGCCCCTAAAAAGTTGCCCACCCGAACCACACCCTAAATACGGTCCTGCGTCTAAAACAGTATTTTAAATACTTTCTAAATACTTAATTGAAAATGTATTTAAAAAATGATTTAAATACTACAAAAGTATTTAAATACATTTACTCTAATACTTTACAATACTAGTTTTCTAATTTATGTTATATTATAATATACATAGTACCTACCATTCTATACCATCTATTTTTTATAGAGGTAAGTACAACCTTTCATTTTTAACCTTCCGTTGTAACCGTTGCAATAATTATTATTAATTTCATTGTTAAATATTTCAACGCAATTTATTGGAAGAATTCCAAAGCTCTTAATAACTAAAAATAAGTCAAATATGCATTTTTGTATATAATATTACCTATTTGAGTACCTGTGGGCTGTGACCTATTATAATAACATGTAGAATACAATTTATTTGGTATTTAAGTAATATTGTAAACATACAAATTAAAATAGTAAACTTCCGTAAATTAATTTGGCATTTGTATTTATTTATTTATATTTCTGTATATGGGACTAGCCCAATTACAAAGATTTGCCATACTTAACGGAATGAAAATACATAATAATACGCATGAACATCAATAGAAGAACATTAAAACAACTTAAAAATATAAATTCCCAATAACTAGAAAAATATAAATGTGCATGTATAATATTGCGTAAATTTACATTACGCCTATTATAGCAGCGGTTCCTAAACTGATTTGGTTCACGCGACCCTAAAAATAAAAAAATAATTTTGCTTCCAATGAATAAGTTAACTACAATTTTTTTTATAGATATTATATTTTTTTGAACAAATCAACTATAAATATTATTTAATTTCAATTAAAGTATAATAAAATATTTTTATTTTTGTGAAAAAAGAAAACAATGATTACCTATTAGTATTTAATCTTAATGCAATCAATGTGCTTGTTTCTTATTCAATATTTCTTCAAAATTAGGTTGCAATATTTTGACATCCGTAGGCATTGATTTTTAAACATTAAGTTTTGACCGATATTTTGATTTTAATATAGCAACCGTAGAAAATCCTGCTTCAATTAAATATGCCACTGAAACAGGCAAAGCTTTGTTGGCTACTTCAAAATATTCATCTTTCATATAATTCCGAAATCCAAATGTTGTTGTCTACATCCTACCTTCCCAACTTCCCACCACACTAGAGGCTGCACCCGTCCCCATTATCTTACCTTTATTTTAGATTCTGAGTGGAATGAGGAATTTATTGGTTTTACAACGATCTTTATTATTTTTTTTTTTTATGTGAACACTTTTTCTACCGGTAAGCTTACTCCGATTATCAAGTGTAGCACCTTTTCTCATTTTTCAGGAAATTTTTTCAGGGTGGTACTTAATAGAGGTCATTCTTTGAAATTCTCATTAAATTAGTTTAAAATAATATATCATTTATTTGTCTAAAGTGTAAAAAAAAAAAAACAAATGTAAAATTAAAAGTATTAATTACATATCATATTCCATAGTTATATATGATAAAAATTAAATTTAAAATAAATAAATGTTAAAGAAAAATGGGATGAAAAAAATTACATAAATATAAAATTGTAGAGCTGCTTGTTTATTAAATTTTCTGTAAAGCAGATTCTAAAAAATGTTAGTACTGTACGAGGTAATGCGTGTCTTACGATATATCGATCGCTGTGTATACACACATTTCGTTTCTTTTGCGCATAAAAATAAAATATAAATTTATCAACAACACGGACTTAGCGATTTCAAATACTGATATTACGACTATATCACGCGTCCTGTATATTCAAGGTGTGGCGATCAACGTGTTATATATTATAGATTATTATTTATATTTAACAAAATAATATTGCGAAATCTCAACACACATAATTACCCGATAATGCAATTATTATTATATTATTGCATTTCTCTGTAGATGTATTGGTTATTTCGCAAATAATATACATGTTTCGTAAAAGAACCATGATCTTAATATTGTCCGTCAGACAGGTGTGCTAGTACATGTCGAGAATTATTGTCTGAAACATATTCTATTTTTGTTCAAATATATATTTACGCATCCATATTAATTATAATAACAATTAATCGCCGTGTGTTAAAATCGACCTAGCGCAATACAAATATTATTACTGAGAATAAAATTATTGTACAAAACAAAAAATGGACATACTTTGTACGATAGGTGTGCCAATATTGTAGGTGAGAAGTTGAGAAGGTAATATATAGAGGGAAATTCAATTTACATTTGTACGCAACGGCAACGATACACATTGCTACAAAAATTCTATTTAGAGGTGAAGTTTCTTTTATACATATAGGACAATTTTCCCGTTTTTCCAATAAATTATTATGAAAACCGCTTTAAGATACTACACTTGAAAATCGGAGCAAGATTTCGTATAAAAAAGTTGTTCACAGATAAAAAAATTAAATAAACATCACTGCAAAACTAATATATTCCTCGCTACGCTCCGAATCTTAAAAAAAAAAAAAATATTATATAATATGTCATATGGTTAATTACATATGCATTATATAATACAGTAAAGTAACCCGTAAAATTAAAATGTCTATAAATAGGTAAAAAATGGCCACAATGTTTTGAAAATTTTACCACGTCTAGGAAAAGGCAAATAAAAGTTTTCTGTTCAAACTTCAAGTTTTTTTTTTTTTACTGAATCAAACAAAACAAAAACAAAAAATTGAATACATAATTTCGTAAATTTTCCTATGTTTTATCCGGTTTTTCTCATTTATTATGAAATCAGCTAGGAAAATGGAAAAATGACTTAAATACTTAAAGTATCACTCTAATCTCTAATCGGATTTCCTTTCAGAAAAAGTGCTATACCAAAAAATCGGAGAGAAATGGCTGATAGAAAAATTGTTTAAAGTAAAAATAAAGGGCTCCGCTCAGAATCTAAAAAAATAATAAATACTAATAAAGCAGAGGAAAATAACAGAATTAGTATAATTTAAACATTGATACCATGGTAACATGTTGGTAGTTAAAGTTTGAGATCGAGATTTGTTATTCACTTCACAACACTTAAGGGCACACTGAAAAATTTCCATTGTATTTCTGTTTGGACATTCGCTGATAATGTGAGATATTGTTTAGTTAGGGTAGCCACGGTCACAGTATTGGGAGGATATTTCATTCGTACATTAAGTCACCGCATCTGCCAGTTCGGATCCGGTTTAGTACTGACCAATGTTTGCGAAGAACACAAGGACTTTCCTTGTGTTCCTTTAACTTTGACCAAAGTTAGATGATGTTCATACTTCCTTCCAAGCGTGACGGAGTTCAAAATTGTATGTGTTAAATTTGATTTCTGTTTTCCACCGGGGATTTCCCGATTTAAGCCGCCGGGGTTTTGCAAGTCGGGCACAATCATAATAGTGGATCGGTAAGAACGGGAACAAGGCGCATTTCTTCCATTCATTTAGTAGAGCTTGTTTGCATCGTGGCACTGGTGGGCCAATAATACTTATCAGGTAATTTGCGGTTGGTTCACAGAAAAAAAGTCCATACGAAACGAAGTGAATGAAGGAAATTAATCGAAAATAAACCACCGATTTGTTTTGCAAAACCGCGTGTGATAGGATTTGATTTCAAGCGCAATATGTTAATGTGCAACCGGGCCGCGTTATTATCATACCGAATACTTGTCATTTATGGAAATACGTCAAAAACTATACGAGCCATCGATTTTTCTATGATAACTCGTTTGAATTCTCGATTAGCTTTATCTAAAGATTCATAAATTTTTAATTGCCAAAGAATCAAAATCGACCCGTTAGTCATATTTATTGCAATATCATAATGCGTGACAAAACCCGACTTCTCGGTCCGCTTTTCTGATAAGTACGAGCGTCACACGTGCATAGTGCTTGCAACGCGAACATGAAATAATAAAACAAACGGACATACTTCGCACGGTGGATGGGCCACTGTTATTGATGATAAGTTGGCGACGTAGAGGGAAAATTCAATGTATTCGCAAAGATTAATGATTTCTAGGATTTCTTCCGAGCGGAGTTCGGTTGTACACACTTTAGGCTGTAATGCTGACGATTTGAATATAATACGTTTCGTACATTTTTCTGTTTTTCTCATATTTTTCCTAGGTTTTTTTTTCCATTTATTGGGAAAACTCCTGGGAAAACCAACAAAGGACCTCCCTAAAGTACGGACCACCCCAGTCAGATTTCCTTTCGGAAAATGTGCTACACTTGAGAAGCTGTGCAAAATTTCTGGTGGAAACGGTTTGTTCACGGGAAAAAGATAATAACAATAAACATCACTGTAAAACCTATAAACATCCTTCGCTCCGCTCGGAATCTGAAATATAACGTACGAACAGGGAACAGCGGTCAGCGACACAGCGATTATCATAGTAATTATGAATGTAATCAACAACGACTAGTAAAACATAATACTGTTGCCGATAGCAATATCATGATGGTGGTAATGTGCGCATGCCAAAGTCCACGGCGGTGCAGTCTCGTCGGCCGGTCGGGTCTCCTCGCGCGTTCCCGCGGTAAGAACATCGTCTATACTAATTATTATCAACAGTGGCGACGTCCGCGGCGAGCACGTGTCTTGGTGGGAGTGTTGTTTACGATACGTTAGCAGCAAACACGGCCGTGTCGGGCGGCGACAACGATGTTTCGTACGTCGGTCGGGGCCTCAGATAAGATTAACGCACAAAATGTTCACGGCACGCTGCACGCCGTCGTCCAACGTCTTCGACACCATCATAGTGTCGGCTCGTCGTTCGCTAGTGCCGATTTATGGCGATCATCGTGCAGCCCACGGAGTTGCACCAAACAGTCCGGACCCCTGAAACGGCCGCAACGCCGTCGCGGCGGAAATCCCGATGGGCCTACCGTGGTCTCACCGTTCTCGACGTGTTCCTGCACGTGTTCGTCGCCTCCACGATTGTCATTGGGATATGGCGAGCTTCGTACCAACTGTACATCGCCTACTACGATTACATAAACCCGTGGTTCGCCACAGGTGCGTCCGTCTTCGTACAATTGGTACGTACCTACACCAATGTTGTCCAGACTTGAATTATGATATCAGAAAAAAAAAATTATATTAAAAACGATTACTATTTCTTCAAATATAAATTGCACGGTTTTACATAAGTCGTGTAAAAATAAGAAATATTGAAATTTACGGTAATATGTTAGGTATTTCCCGAAACTAAAAATACCATTACCTATACTGAACAATTTTGAAAAAAAAAATTAATTTAAAATTTAAATACCATGCTGCGAAACCAACTAAAAGGTAAATGATAATGGAAAACATTACTAAAAATATTTTCTTGCTTATGTAATATGTGACATGGTGTAGTTATGATTTTGTTGTGGGAGTAGGGTAATTTGATAGGTGAATTCATGTGTGGTTCCATACCCCACCACCTATACTGGAAAATTTTTTAGTTTCTGTGTATAGCAAAGTAGTTATGAATTTTACTAATATGTGTTCATTTTTAAACAGAGAAAAGTTTTTCGGTTAGCAAAATTTACCCATTTTTTTATGGCTGATTTTTCGCCGGGATGGTTTGGACAATTTTTTTAAATTTTCAATATTTTCCCGAAAAATTGTACTTTATTTTTATTTTAAAAACAATTTTTTCGTAAGTTTTTTCATTCAATACTTTAAAAGATGATGAATTTTTACCGACAAAAAAAAAGATATATCATTACAAATAGATTTACTGAGGTGCATTATATAACGTTATGAGGAATCTAACCCAATATCAACCCTCCATAACTAAGCCACTGATAGTAAATGAAAACCTGTGCATAATATACATTTATAAATGTACTTGTTTATAAGCACGTGGGACACTTTTCACGTATTGAATGAGTTCCTTTTATATATTTACTTACGGGTAAGTGCAGTTTCATTATTTTTTTTTTATATTTATTTCATATTTTTCCATAAACTGTCCTCGCATAAACGTATGCATGTAATAATTTAATCAATATTAATAAGAGTATATAGCTCTCTTATTCAATTGCGAGGCTTTCATTATATTTTATACAAGAGCAAAATTATTTAACATTTTCCATCGTCATTTACCTTTTAGTTCGTTTTAAAGCATAGTTTTTAAAAAAAAAATGTCTTTATTTTATTATTTTTAGTCTTACAAGAAAATCATTTTTCTTGGGTAAATGGAAAATCTGACCACGGGTTATTTATAATGAGGGACATGCGAACATAAAAGTTGTATTTTACGATATTTTGAAAAAATTTTCTCGAAAGCCATATGAGGTAAAAATTAATAATTGAAGTAAAAATGAAAAATCTAACATAGGTCGCCTTAAAATATAAAAACGAAAACGATTTTGCTTAAATTACTTATATACCCACCGAAAATCGACAAAAATGTTTTATATTAGTTTTTTTATTACGATTATAATCGTTACGTTATAACGTCTGGCGCAACACAAATTTCGTATCTTAACGTCGTATATTCTAGGTCGGTTTTTAACTACGAAAAAGGTCATTCCTATCTCTACTCGTCTAAACAATTTATATTAGAAGTTGGAAAAAGTGAGATACGAACTTTTTCATTACGACAGGCAATAAAAGCGATTATTATGTAGATCATCAGAAAAATGATCGAAGATCAAAGATTAGATTAGAAGTTGCAAAAAGTCGATTTGACCTTGTGGCAAGTAGGTAATACAGGGGCTTACTCACGGGAGAGAGGGGTATCCTTTGACATTTATTTTTTTTTTTATAATTAGTTTTTGCTTTATGAATTTTCTTCAATTATTGTTTTATTAATGATATATGGAGACAAAATCCAATACAATTCATTACTTATTTTTTAAATATTTTTGAAATCTTATTCTGTAGATTTTACCGTTATGATTTTTTTAATATATTTTTGAAAAGACAGTTACAGTTAATAAAATCGGTTTGAAAAAATTTCTTTTTAGACACTTAATAAAAGCTCTTAATGTTTTTTTTGACACTGAAATTAAGTTTGAACAACCAACGAGACCTCTGAGTAGGTATTATTTGATGTATAAAATCATATTTTTGTCCGTTAGATACACAAATAATCAAAATAAACATTAGATTCGTGTATCTAATGCATAATAATAAAAGGCTGTAGATTAAATACACTAAAATATATTTTAAAAAATTTCTAAACGAGCAATTACAATTTTTTTTTTTTTTTTAAATGAATCATGGTCATCAAATCTCATTCCAACAAGAGTCAATTTTTAATCACCTATTTTATATTGACTGTGGTGGTTTTATTCCAATTTGAGGGGGTGAATTACAAATCCACGTGGGGTCATGAGATTCTCCCATTATCCTCGGTGGAAATTATTACTCTAATCTGTACGAAAAATATGCAAATTTTGGTGGTTTTAATTAAAATAAATAGTTGTCCATAAACTATCACATTGCAAATTTCTAAGCATGATCCTTTTCAATTATATCGTCTCCTATTTCAACAGTTTATACATGGATATTTCATAAATAAAATATTCTTTAGGCACCAAAATATATCAATTTAAGTATGGTAAAAAATATTGTTCATAAGGTACTAATATGAAATCACGAAAATACTTAAGAGGGATAACTAATCATTCCCGCTCCTAATATATACGCCTCTGATTATTGAAATATTTAATAATCCTTGTAAAAATAACTGAATACTATAATATTTATTACAATATTATACTATACTACTGCCTGCAAACATTAAAATGACAGCGAGAAATGTTGAAAGTCGGAACCCCCAAAAGAAACATCCTTGATACTAATGCAATACATCTGGTCGATAGTTTTTTTTGGAGTTGTAATTGATTTTTTAGAAACTAAAACCTTTAAAAAAAAGGATTTTTAGTCAATTGAATTCATAACCCTAATAATAATACAAATTTAGGGAAAAAAATTACTACTCATATTTAAATAATTACGTAGGTACCGATTTAATATTTGGTAGTTTACTTTTTATTATTATTAATGTTTTTACTTCTAGTTGCTATCAGTACTCAGTGATCCGTTGGTAAAGTACTTCAAACAAAAAAACCATTCGAAAATCGCATTTTGGGTAGTTTCTCGGGTGTACATTTATTCACGATTCGTGAGTGGCATGTTTATGTATGTGTGCCAGGAATGGCTGCTCGAACTGTCATTAAGTGAAGTGCATAAAGTGGTGCCGAACGAAATTGTTCTTCTGATCTGCATTATTATTTTGTGTTTGATTACCAAGCTGGCTTCAATAATGGGACCTCCTACATGTGGCTTTGAATTCGATCCTAAACCCGAAGAAATATTTCAATTCGACAGAATGTTTTGGCCAGAGGTATGATATCCATTTATTGAAATTTAAATACTACCTGTATCTATTTAATCCAAATAAAAATATTTTAAATAATTATGAATCTTATCTAAGCGTTGATTCTGAATACTAATCAATGATATTACCTATAATTAAATAATTAGTTGTTAATTTCTATTTCGTAATAATCTGATATTTCTGTACCATAACTGAAGGGGTCAATAAATACAGGTTTCCATTAAATGACATTTTTTTTTTTTTTTTTTTAATTGATATTATTTTATAAATCTACTCTTGACATGTAACAGGTGTATACAAAATCTCAGAACGAAAAAGAAACATTGTTTATGGAGATGTTTTAGTTAAAAAGGTGTTATTCCACTATAGTATTATAAATGCGAAAATTTGTTTGGATGTTTGTTACTCATTTACACCAAAACTACAGAACTTATATTTGAAATCGATAAGTAACTAAAGGCACCGGTGCAATAACTTATTAAATTTATATTTTTGATGTTATAATATATTTTTTGGGATTCAATAAATTGAATATGATATATAATTTAAGAATTTTTTAAATATCACAATTATTTCAAAATGTATAAAAAATTTAATTTTGAATCGGTGTAATAACAAGTTAAGTCCAAATTGTAACTGATTAGTGCACCGCATTATACGGAAGATACATTTGTATGTAACCGTTTAATAAATAATATTATGCGTTTCATTTTTGTGAAATAAACAAAATAATAATCATTGTTTTTTATATTGTTACCAGTTGAATATACAAACTGTATTAACAATATTACTTGTTAATTATTATTAAATAATCAATAATTAGTCAAAAATAATTTAATAATCATTACTCGCAAACAATGAAAAAATAGTGACATACTTCACACGTAGGTGGGCCACTGTTATAGGTGAGAAGTTGGGAAGGTAGAGGGGAAATTTATTGCAAGTATATCTACACACAACGTTTAACAATTGCTAACGAAAAACGATTCTGAGCGGAGTTCGGTTAAAAGTGATGCTTTATCAACAATATATATGTCATATAATGGTAAAATAATTAATTACATATGCATTATATATTTTCTTCAATGATACACTCAGATTCTAAAATGTACACAATAAAAAAATACAATCTTATTATAATTGATAATATTAATCTTTTTTATTAGGTTTAATTAAGTATTAGATGCATATAACATTAGAAATATGTAATAATAAATAAAATCCAAATATATATATATGTAACTTATTATTGCACCGAATAAAATAAAATAAAATTTCGAAACACTTGTTTGGTGTAAAAATCAGTCAAGTCCAGACATGTCATACTGTTCTTGCCCCGGAAGAATAAATAACTAATATATGGAAATATGAAAGGTAAGTCTAGATTTATTTGGTTATTGTGTCCAACAGTAACGTTAATTTACATAGATTTTGTAATATATTTTTCATGATATTCATTGAACATATCTGGTTTTTGCACCAATCGATAGAGAATTTCGTTCTCAACATTTGTGTGTTAAAAACGGATTTATTTTTGGAAAAATTGGACTTAACTAGTTATTGCACCGGTGCCTTCGATTTTCATACAATACTAATATAATACTAATTAATTTGCATATTTTAAAAATTATCAAAGCTACCGAATTTCAGGATAACATTTTTTGAAATACATATTTTATCTGCTAATTATGTATAATAATATTGTATAATACTATAATAAAAAGTCTATATACGTCGTATTAGAGACTTTTATGACAGGAAACGCCGACAAATATTTGAATTCGGTCCAAGGAGAGTGACGATCGCATTGTTGCCCCTCCCCCTCAAACCAGACACTGATAAATATAAAAATATAGGATCCTTAGCGAGTTCTAAATGGCTAAAGATATCCGAAAAATCATGACTACGTGTTTTGATATTTTGGATCATATCCGTGTGAGAATTCGCAGTGGAAACAGCGTGCATAGTATTCTACTTAAATATTATAATTCGAAAAATAAAAATTTACATGCAATTAATTGAGATGGTTTCGAATAATATATGGGATATTGAGATTTGTATTTGATATAATACATAATATTTATTTCAATACATTAAATATGTTATTTAATATAGGTAGATAATAGTATTAAAATGATAATGATAATAATAACAATAATTAGGTCACAAGTGGCAATGTCATTTCTCGTATGTACATTTCCGGTTTTCGTATAGGAATCGTAATATAATATACCTACCTACGCACTTGTATAATATAAACTTGGAGCAAATCAATTCGAAGAACTATTGTTATCATTTTAAATACATCGTCAATATGTGTGTGTATCCATAACAAACGTTATTATCATATTAAATATATGGTGGGTATTAATAATAATAATAATAATTATCAAGTACCTATATTAATCCGTATTTAATTATATTAGATACGATAATATTGTAGCTAGTTTTGTCTTCGTATTATATACAGGTGTCCCACCGTGTTCTACGAATTTATTTTCTCTGCTAGTATTCAAATTGGACTTTGTATCTGCGTGACACATGTATAGAGAAAAATTAAATTCATTTTCACTTTCACCTCTAATCACTTAAAAAAAAAAGTAATAATTTTTTATTGGATCACTTTACAAAAATTTCAAAATAATAATTTTGTAACAGATGTTATTCTAAAAATAGTAGGGTTACCATAAATATCCGATTAATACTTTTTTGTTAATACCATTTTAATATCTATCATTTTCAAAATTTCTAAATAAATCATTTATAATAGGTACAGAATAAAATTAATTTTTCAAATAGTATTGATTACAAATTCGGTTATTTTAAAAAATTTCAGAAAGTGAACAAATAAAAAGTTATTTTTTTTTTTTATTGACTGTATTAAAATAAAAATTTAATTTTTTTTTATTATATAACCCAGAAAGAAAGAAAATGAATATTAATAGAGAAATAAATATCCACAAAACACGATAGAATACTCTAAATAACTTGATATTTTCATCTTTCTCTGCGTTTATAATAATAACATGAACATCAGAATATAATATTTGTTTGTTAAAAATATTGTTTACGCACTACGATTATACAGTTATCACATCATGGGTACACGTCATTTACAAACAACTGGTAGCATTGCAAATTTGAGGTCATGCAGAACAGTGAGTTTGATAGGTGTAATAGGTTACTGATAGGTGACAATTTGTTCATAAGAGGAATGATGGTGGTAATGGTAGTCTGGTAGTGGTGTTAAGTACAACAAATTGATTCATTTTATGTTCTTCACGTCTCATTACAAAAAAAAAAAAGTAACAAATCAGTAATCACCATTAACTAATATAATTTGAAATCGTTTTGAATAGTAGAACGAGACGGCATGCAATTTTTTCCGTTTAGTTCTTCACGAAAAAAACCCTTCTGCGATAGTAAAAATACTAGAAAAGTTTTACACTTAATCAAAAAACATAAGTAATTACCAACCTAGAAACTCAATTCACTGTTCGTATTATTCGCATCGAAAAGTTAATAATTTTACACTTATCATATCATATCACTCAAAACGCAATCAATATCGGAAATTTCATCCCAGATTAGAAAATAATATTTGTAGTTTTGAAATATTAACCGAATATTAATTTGAAAAGGTACCTATTTGGCCGTAAAGGTTTTGCAAAGTTTAAAACATTTAATACGTAATAGAAAACACTCAGACAATTTCGAATCATGTTTAGAATCGTTTTTTGAATAGCATTGTCCACATATGCATAATGTGCGGTTGTTTTCAATTCAACCATCCTAAAGATGCAAAGTGTATAAGTTTCATTTAAAAAACAAATTCCGTGAATAAAAAAACACAACTATTATAATATTTTAGCTATTTGATAATTCAATATTAATAACGCATTTTTATAATATTTAGAATATTATACTCAAAAAATACATTACATTTATACAATTATGATGACATTTTTTTTTAAATTTATATTAGTACTACTACCTCATACTTATACTTATCGATATAATACAATTATAATCCTATAATCCTAAATGTCTATAAATCCAGATTTATAATTTATTATTCACTTCATAGGAAATTTCATAATATTATTTAAATACGTATATTACTGTTATGTTTTGATTTCTTTCAGAAGACTTGTTCCAAACAAAAACTTCATAAGAGGTTTCTTGTAGGATTTCGTATACGTAAAATTTCGGATACGTCGAAGAACTATTTACTTATTTTTTTAGGACTCATACTTTCTTGTACTTATTGTAGATACTCATAAAAATAAAAGAAAAAAAGCTCATAATGGAAACGGTTGAGACCACTGTTGTAAGTATTGAAAGTAGTTGGGAAGGTAGGATACTTAAAGTTCTTTATTCTACCTAAAACCAACGATAAATCTTTGCTAACGAAAAACGATTCAGAGCGAAGTTCGACTGTACATGCTTTGAAAAGTCGTAATATTTACAATTTTTGTCGAAATTTGATTTTAAAACTGTTAAAAAAATAAAAAATACGACATTACACTCAATTTTTTGTTTGTTGACCACTGAGTACGACTTTTAATGAATCTCCTGTCAAATTTTCAAATATTTCTGTAATGTCTAAAATTGTATCCACAAAGTACCTACCGAGTAAAAATTAGGTACGTAAAATCCTAAAAGTTAAAATGTCTAAGCAATGTCTAACGTCTGGAGCAATATTTTTGGTAGAAAAATTGACAGAAGAAAAAAAATCATAGAAACAAGAAATGTTCACCGAATACTTTTGTTCGGATTTTCTATAGACGTGATATAAATTTCAAAATATTTTCCAACGTTACTGCCAAACTATTGTCTATCGATCTTCCCTGTATCTATATGATTTTAAATCCTATTTATACTATAAATCCGAAAGTTTGTTTGGATGCTTGGATTTTTGTAACCCCTTCACGCCAAAACTACTGAACCGATTGACCTGTAAATGTCCATAGATTTAGTTCTAGACTAAGAATAACCTATAAATTATAGGTTACATCCCTCCCGTATTCAACCTCTAAAAAGGGGCTAACACAGGGTTATTGTTGTTATTGATATTTTTGATACGAAAATATAATTATTTTCGTTGATTTATGGATTACTTCTCCATACGATGTTCAATATATTTATATATATATATATAAAAATAATGTTTTGAACTTTTTCAGACTTTTGATTCAGAAGAATGATTTATAAAATAAAATACTGTATTATATGATAAAATGTTTACTCATGGAAGGATAATTAACAAACTCTTATCTTATTTTTGTATTATTGTTATTAGTTGTACAAATTATATTATTATATAAGATAAAATACAAAATGTTAAATTGAAGAAAAAAAAATCCCTGACCTGGTCTACTAGCTGTACCTATTATATGTTGACCTTTTTTTTATCTAGGTACTTACTTTTAATTAATTAGTTTGAATTGAGGTTTTTTTTTTGTAAATTTCTAAAATGAGAATTTACTTAGTTCTAAAAATACAAAGAACAAAAATAATTAATTTGTCCTGCAATGATATTTCGTTCAATTTTTGGTATTTTTTTTTCTAATAAAAAAATAAAGTAAAAATAAAATTATTAATATGGTTAATACTTATAAATAAATATATAAATACAAATGTATATATCTATTTAATAATACTCCAGATGACGCATTCATTATTTTTATTATTATTTTTTATTTTTATATATACATTTTGGTTTATATATTTTTTTTTATTGTTCGAAAAAAATAATATGTACACAATAAATTAAATTAAACAAATAACATTCTCGTTTATCTATTTCCTTTAATCTAAGCTTGTGATGGCGATATAGTTACATTTTTATAAAGCTTATAGATTATTATGTTTAATAAAACTAAATACAACATAATAATATGAATATATGTACAAATAAAAACACGGACATAATTCGCACGTGGATGGAAAGTTGTAGGTAAGCAGTTGGGAGGATAGTAGAGAGAAAATTGAATGTATATCTGTACGCAACGATTAACCATTGCTAAACGAAAAAACGATTTCGTTTGATAGTGTTTCTTTTTTAACAATATATATGTCACATTATGATAAAATAATTACATATGTATTATGTATTTTCTTTAATAATATTTGTTTAATACTGTATCTATTTTAGCGTTTTTATAAATTTCCTTTTAATAAATAATGTTAACAAGACTTCCTAGGATATGGGGTCGGGTTCACCCACTGTTATAAGTAATTTAATGTACACCTGTAAGCACAATAAACCATTGCTAATGAAAAACGAATTCTGAGCGGAGTTCAGTTGATAGTGCTGCTTTGTCAACAATAAATCTGTCATATTATGATAAAATTCAAATTATTCCAATTCCCAAAATTAAAATGGATCCCGATATTCCCGGTTTTCCCATGTATTTTCCTGATTTTTCATATTTGCTGGGAAAACTTTTGAAAAAATCTAAAAATGACCTCAAAAAACCTCTCCACACCAGTTTCCTTTCAGAAAAAATTCTACACTTAAAAATTGGAGTAAGATCTCTGGTAGAAAAAAAAAATAAAAATCTTTGTAAAACCAATATTAAAACCTTTTTAAATGCATAATAATATGAAAGTTATTTTTATCTATTACTGTATTATGATTTTTTTTTCATAGTATGTAATTATTTGCCACTAATCTTTATAGCTATATCATTTTTTATATTATTTTATATCTATTATATATGCCTATGATTGCTAATCATAATAATTGTTATTACTATTGTTATCATTATGTATCATTTATTATTATTTTATTTTTAATATTAAATTTACATCAATAAATTATTATTAACAAAACCCATTCTGAAAAACAATCCGGCATGCACGTCACTATACTGTATACTATGGATTATATTCTTTCGTTGATACGTATTTTTTAAAAAAAAAAAATATATTTATTAATTGACTGTTTAAAAAATTATACACTGCGGGAAATTAAAAAACAATATAATACATTTAAAAATATTATTATAAATATCGAACACACAAAACTGCACGGTATTCGTCTTCATATTAGTAACGAACATGACAGAATAATTAATATGAAACTTTTCGACAGTTGATCGCATCCGTACTAAGTTTACAAATATTAAAATCTATTCATATAATATTTCGTATTTAATTATTCGGCTATGCGAAAATTATTCCGATAGTTTTTATTCGGTTATAGAAAAACTGTTCGGATATTTGTTCAACATATTCTGTCATAGAAAAATATCTGAATGAAATTTTCGATAAGTCATCTATCGAAAATGATTGATTACACAAAATTCAGCTTTATAGGATCCTATATTTCTAAGGTAAATTTAAAAAAAAAAATACAGACATACTTTGCATGATGGGTGGGTTACTGTTGTAGGTGAGAAGTTGAGAAGGAAGGATATAGAAGGGAATTTAATGTATACCTGTACGCAACGATTAATAATTGCTAACGAAAATCGATTCTGAGCGGAGTTCGGTTGTACTAGTTTCGAAAGACCATAATACTTAGGATTTATCGTAATATTTACAATTTTCCTCAAAATTTGGTATTAAAATTTAGAACCTTCGAAATATTTTTATAATTAAAATATCGGTAAATGTACTTTTCCTGATGAATTTAAAAATTCGCTAATAGTTTCTTTGTACAAATGTGGTCATCATAAATATTTAAATAACTATATATCAGTTTCAATGTAAAGCAACTTCTCAAACATTTTAGAAAAAATCATTTAAAACCGACTAATAATATATTTAAAAGGTACCGAACTTTTGTCGAAAAACTAGTTTGATTTCAGACTAGGCTTAGGGACTGAAAATTAACTCAATAACGCTAGCAAAGTACGAGCTAATATATATATATATTGTATAATAATCTTGACAATTGTAAAAGAAACCTTAGAAGTTACCTAGCTAGGCATTTGATACAGTAAACCATATAACGAGCTAATTTTAAATGTTCAAAGAAGTTAGTTTGAAATGGATAAGTAATCTTACAGATAAGTAAAAATTAGTTAAAATAAATGACGAATTAGGTCAAAAAGAAAAAAAAATTACATATAAATTAAATTATAGCTGTCCCGCGCCCGGCGTTGCCCGTGCTAATTTTTTATTCTCTTTACCTTTATTTCCATTTTACTTTGTCCATATCAGTATATTAAACTAAAAAAAAGGCTAGAAAGTGGGTAGTTCGTAGACTAAAAGTATTCTAGTGTATCATACATTTTACACTATAATAGCCTTGAAATTATGAGAAAATAGTAGGACTGTAATATTGTTGCTATACCAAAAAATACAAAGATTCAGAGATGCCGTTTTACATGTTTTCAATTTTCACTTACCCACCTACCCACAGCGCATAGTTTTTTGTTTTTTTTTTTCATATTACCATGGTAACCCATCCTATTTCAAGCCAATAATCGACCGGTAAACAGTCAGATAGACTCTTTATTTTAAGTTGGTATAGTTGTAGTATTTTTATTTCTTTTTATTATTTGTTATATTTTGTTTTTAAATTTTCTTCGTGTCATCCGTGTTACTATAGTATTCTTTAATTCAACAAAAATAATTTAATTTTGGTTTCAAAAATATCTAAAAACCTTTTATCCCTTATTTCATCTACTTCAAGTTTTATTTTCGTGACAAGTAGCCTATGTTTTTCTACAAGGTTACATCTATCTCTATATTAAAATTCATCAAAATCCGTTCAGTTGTTTTTAGATGAAAGAGTAACAAACGTCCATGCATCCTCACAAACTTTCACATTTATAATATTAAGTAGCAGGATAAGATTCTAAGTGAAACGAGGAATATAGGTACTGGTTTACAATGATGTTTATTTTTTTTACTATGAACAACTTTTCTACCAACAATTTTGTTAGGAAATCTGAAAAGGTGGTCCGTTAAACAGGTGATTTTTTTAATTTTCCCAAAATTTTTCCATTAAATGGGAAAAACTTGGGAAAATTATTTATCTTCGCCCATAGGTCCACTATTGTAGGTGAAAGTTAGGAAGGTAGGGAATTCAATGTATATCTGTAAGCAATGATAATCCATTGCTTACGAAAACACGATTCTGAGCGGAGTTCAGTTGAAAGTGCTGCTTTGTCAACAATATATACGTCATTATGTCATATTATGGTAAAATAATTACAACAATGATTGTTTGAAAAAGATTAAAATAATAAAAACTTAACAATAACAAAAATAAATAAACACGGTTGAAATGACAACCTATTTTTTAATTTTTCGATCTTGTTTAACTTAAAGAACCAGATTTTTCTCATTATCTTGAATTTTAATAAGAATTTCAAAAAATGGCTTCTTAAAAATACCATCCAGAGAACATTTCCTTTCTTAGAAAAGATGCTATACTTGATAATCGGAGTAAACTTTCTGGTAGAAAAAGTGTCCCATAAAAAAATAATAAACATCATTTTAAAACCAATATTTTTCTTGTTCCACTCAAAATCTAAAATAAAGGTAAAATAATGGGAACGAGTACAGCCAATAGTGTGGTAGAAAGTTAGAAAGGTATGATATAGACGGAAATTCATAAACATCTGTAAGCAACGATAAACCATTGCTTACAAAAAAACGATTCTGAGCGGAGTTCAATTGATAATGATGTTTTGTCAACTATGTATATGTCATTTTGGTCATTTTTTAGTAAAATAACTAAACAGGTTTTATATATTTTCTTTAATCAAATTTGTTTAATGTTGTACCAATTTTCCTGATTTTTTAAATTTGATGAGAAAATTCCTAAAAAAAATCATTATACAACCAATAAATTCCTCGCTCCATTCAGAATCTAAAATAAGTATTTTTTTCTAAGATTTGAGGACAATCAAGCTTATTATTTAATAATTTATAAAAATACATTAAATTTAAATACCTTCTTCGAACATTACAAATGTCGATATTTTAAAGAAACACAAAACTCAATCATACGAAGAACGAGGTGATCTTTGTACATTACATTTGTAGGAAATGAATCTTAAAAACGAATTTTGGATGAATTCTAGAGATTAAGAATGTTGAATACTAGTAGGTGACCAAATAAGAGTTGCATATTCAAGCTGTGGGCATACTAAAGGGATATAAATATTTTTTGACACATATTATCAGTACAGTATTGTCACTATGATTGCTGAATTAAATTTTATTTTATTCTATGGTATAAGATAGTATTCTATTGAATGTTTAATACGATTTTAAAAAAGCAGTAAAGGAAGAAATTTTGGGAGGGGGGTTTGACCCTAACCCCTTTTGTGTGTGCCACTCCGTATAGCTATATACTATATTATAGTATAGTATAACTAATCCAAATTTATATTATAATAATATTAGTATGTTGAAATTGTTATCTAGGTAGGTATTAGGTAAATAGGTACCTACCTTATTTTTAATTCGCAAGGTTCGAAGAGTATTTGATACCGCTGGTAAAAAATATAAAATTTAATTTAAATTGTTTATATTATATTTACGGTATAATATATATATATATAGGTATATATAATATATATCATTATATTTTTGATTGCTAAATATTTTTTAAAGGTGTTATTATAAGACCTTATTAATATATATCACAGGTCATATAAGAATCATCAATATGTACAATTCTATTATACATATTATTGATCATTGCGCATCTATTTCATAAACTAACGATATATTTAATGCTGGTAAAAAAATAAATAAATAAAATATCTAAAAATGGATCAGTTGCAATCACAAATTTCGATTATGTCATTAGTTTTGGAATTTTTTAATTATCCCTAAAATACAATCGTACAAATTTCTTTGTGTTATGTAATTCTATTTTTTTTTTTTTTTATTGACAATATGCAATATCATAAGTATGTTGGTACTTACAAAGCAGGGCACGCGCAAAGCGAAGGGGTCGAACTGGGCATACGCCAAGGGCTTAGTATTTTTATTTTATGTTTAGTATCTCGCAAAATAATTTAAACCAATTATAAATTTAGCACCGGCACTGCCCGGAGGAGGGATAGAAAGGACAATTTTCTCCTTGGATTTGTATATCAGAAAAAAGATTTCACCAGCGTTTCACCTTGCTTGTTAATATTGCTGACATTCTGAAAAGTAACTATCTGCACGGTTTCTGATTTCAAATTGAAGTAAATGTATATTATTATATTTATAAATTGTACATAGATAAACAGTATAAATCCCGAACATTCTTAATTGGCACATTACACGTATTATTCACGTACGTTTTTGGTGGTGCCTATAACAATATTATAATCAATTAGTGTTATATGTTCATTTATGATTGATCAAAAGCAATTCTATAATTTTTCGATTTTCTGCGGGGCGAGAGTGATGCATTGGTTTTATAACGTACGTTCCTCCCACACGGACTTTTTTCGTTGGGGTGGACAAACCTATCATTTTGCTCCCTCACAATTTAATTTAATTTTTATAAAATATTTAAGTTATAATTCTATAAGAAAATTATTACCCATGTTAAATCAAATAGTATGTACATTACCATAAATAAATATAAATAGATATGAATGAAATGTCCACATAGAGTAACACGATAATCCTCTTTTTATTACCATTACCCTTAGATAAATATTATACATTAATATCAATTGATAAACCTACTTACTTACCATCACGAATTAAAATATACTGGATACCCAACGATACATGATAAGGTGTTACGATATCGTACTAAGCCAAATTCTTCCAGATATCTGTAAATCCTGATAAATGATCAGTATCCAAGAACTGGTCTTCTTGGATATCGGAGTCTGTACTCTAGCACTACGGCTCGAGCATTGCTGTTACGAAATCCTCAATACCAGCAATGTGACCGAATGGTAAATCAAATAGTCTTGGCATTTTACTTACAAATTATTAGTTAAAGACAACAAAAATTTAACTAAGTAAATATTAAAATGATAGAACTCATGGAAGACACGAAAATAAAACTACTAAAGTATTGTAGGTATTTTTCAGTATAATAATAAAATAAAAACTGTATTAAATAGGAAATTACTTGGAGTTTTACGTGATTTTTTTTTTTTAAAAATACAAATTTTTGACAAACAATAATTTTTACTTTTTTCAATTCAATAAAAATATTTTGTACATTTTTAGTCTAATTGTTTATGTTGGTTGATAACACGATAGAATAGCTACAAAATAAAAAACAAAAACTACTTTTATAAGTTGAAAAGTTTTCAAGATACACAACAAAAATGCATAATAAGTACGGTTTCGTTAAAAAAAAAACTTAAATTGCCCATAATATAAAAAATAAAAGTGTTAGACCACCACTTTAAAAGGGATTTCTCCGTAATTTTGGGAGTACTCTCATATGACGCCAGTCGGTCACTCCCCCCAGGAACAAATTGTATAGTATTCCTGCGGGGGTAGATATAACCAAATGGTTATAGATATCTTGATAGTTACTTAAAAATACTATCTCAATTGTTTACAAGTAACATTATTTTAATGTTTATTATTCAATATTGATGTGACATTTAAAATCGATATTACTACGATGACCTGTAGACATTTATTTTAAATATAATTTTTCTTAATTATTTACAAAAAACATTGTTTTGATGTTTATTATTCAATATTGATGTGACATTTAAAATCGATATTACTACGATGACCTATAGACATTTATTTTAGGTATAATTTGTCTTAATTATTTACGAAAAACATTATTTCGATGTTTATTATTCAATATTGATGTGACATTTAAAATCGATATTACTACGATGACTTATAAACATTTATTTTGTAATAACCTCCTGGTTCTCAGACCGCGATAACCTTTCATCAGTTTTAAAAGTTTCCAATCCTGACGGTTTACGGGGCTCGGTGGTGATAATACACGAATCAGTTATTAGGACGCGTTATTTTATAACGATATATAGGTACATGTAAATGTGTAGTAAACAGATACGATATTTATATTATTTTGTAATTGTATTGTCGTCTCGCTCCTGCTCCGGTAGAATATTGTGACAATACAGTTATTATTAGCCGAACGTTGTCAGACGAAATGTCGTGCAGACAAAGGCGTCGACGACGGGGTACAGTATGGGGAGTCGGAGGCGAGCACAATGTGGTCCCCGTCCGTCCATAATGTCCCGGTCATTATTATTATTATTATTAATATTTTATTTGTCGTTCGACAGAGACGTGTACAAAGTCGCAAGTAGCAAAAATTGTTCCATCCGCCCGAGGCCTGCAGTCATAGTTGTATAATATTTTAGTTGCGTGCGACCATGTCGGAGAGAGTTAACAACGCGCGCGCGCCGCTCCGTACCTACTGACCGCCGCCGCGTGTGTAGCCTAACTACCGCGGCGACGACAACCACCACCATCGTCGTAGCACCATTCGCACCGGCATCGCATATCGCATCTGACCTCCGCGCGCGCGTTACCATCGCGATCATGACATGGCCGACCGGTTTTCGCCGTCGCTGAACTTCCGCCCCTTTTTATCGTGCTGCTCTTCTGCCGCCCATAGACGACCGCCGCAACATCAGCTCGCCGACCCTTTGCTGCAGCTACCGCAGACGCAATGACGTCGTCCGTGGCGTCGATGCGGCGAGAGCTCGGCGACGGGCCTGCCTCACTGGTGGCCCTCGACGCTGTCCTATCCACGGCTGTCATCACGCCCGTGGTAGTAACCTATTGGAGGATCACGTGGAAGCTGATGGACATATACATCGTGCCCGGGCACAAAAAGTGGAGCACCGCCGCGTCCATGAGCATTGGGTTCTTTGGACTATTCGTGTTCACGCTCTTCCAGCACCGGCTCAAACGGTACCTCAAGCCCAGGAAGCACACGGTCATGTACTACGTTATGTCCCGAGGATACACGGCTGCGTTCGCGTACTCGTGCGTGAATTCGTGGCGTGGTATCTGGGACCTCATGGACATAGTGACGGGCACCCGGACACCCGTTGTCGCAGCGTCTGTGGCCCTGGGCATATGCAGTCTGGCCTTCATGAGGACTCTGCGCAACATCATCGCTCCCCCAATAGCTATACTCACCGATAGCTACGACGGATACTTCGAGGTGCCCACGCTGTTTCGCATCGGCGTCCGAGTGAGATTTCTTACCTATATCTCTTTTCGTCTCATCGAGTTGTGTAGCTTTTATTTTTCCACGCTCGCAAGTTTGACGACTGCTTGGTGTTTCCAGGCCAACTCTTTTCATTTATATAGTAAAAACTACGGCATGACTTTGGATAGGTACTTAAAGTCTTTTTAAAAGATAAAAAACACTTATGGTTTAACGGATTAATGAATTAATGGTTTGTTTTAGTAGGATATTTCGGATTAGTATAATAACTTGTAAACATTTTTATTGCTATCGGTAAACTAAACAACATAACGAAAAAATCTTGGAACAATCAAAATATATAATGAAATTTATTATTAGAAGGTAAATTCGTTAAATGTAGAACAATTGAATATATTATTAAACATATTAACTATTTTAGCATGTATCTGCTATAAACGTTTCAAGTAAATGTTTATTTGATTTCTTGCATAATGTATTACTCGGTAAATTACAAAAAAAAAAAATATTCTTTAAGTCTAAATATCTTAGAAAATAATATTCACTAGTATATTTACCAATAATGATATACTTCAATAAAAATCATATTATTTATTTATTTATTTACGGAAAAAAAAAAATCCCATTTACAAAAAATGTATGTAACATAATATTTATAACAGTTGAATGTGTGTAGATAAAAATAATAAATATTATAAACAGAATAATATAATAATATTATAAAATTAAATCTAGTGTAATATTTGTTTAGTATTGTTAATGTTACGAGAACAAATTTCTAGTTTACCAGAATTACCAACATTAATTGGAGGGCAAGCTGAATAATTTGAGAGGATTTTTCGTAACAAAAAATGTATTTGTATCTCTAGTGTTGTTGCAGTTAATCTTAAAATTAATTTTTTCTAATAAAAAATTACAATCCACTCTATTATTATAGCGACTTAAATATAAAAAAGCATAAAATGTGGTTATTTCTTCTGGTTTTTAAGGAAGCCATACTAAAATATCCCAGAATTCCGTCATAACTAGTATGTGGTTGTCTTTCTACTCTGTATTTATAAGATAAAAATCGCAATAATGCATTTTGGACAGATTCTAGCCTTTGAGTGGATATTATAGAGTTGGGAGACCAAATCAGCGCAACATATTCTAATTGAGAGCGAACCAATGAAAAATAAATATTTTTTTAATGCTAGTATGTTATTAAATTCTGAACAACATCGCTTAAGAAATAATATTAATAATATTAATAATATTGTATTATTATTTCCTAATTTTTGTTTTAGGATTTATGATAATAATTTTACTAATAATAACAATTATATGCTTCTACATATACTAGGTATCTTATGTATACCTGCCTGTAAGGATTATTATTTTTTTTAACTATTAAATTCAAATGTATTGCTAGTACATAATAATGTGCGTATGTCTAAATAAAATATATTGAGGTATAATGTTTAATTTATTATTCGTATATTATAATATATGGTCAAATTGGTTTTTTATAATTAAATATTACATAATCGGACGAATATTATGAAAATGCTACATAGTATTTCAAATATAATTTTATATTAATACCTATAACAACTACTATACTATATTATCTTATATAACCTACTTCTAAAAACAAACAATTCTAGATATTAGATAACCTGATTCAACGTTTACATTATTTAAAACCGTCGAGGTGTATTTATTTTCTGTCGAATCCACAAGACATTTACGAGATACGAATTTGAATTATATTTTTCGGTTCGAGTAAAATATTTAAAATATTATGTGTATACATTTTACACGGACAAAAAAATGTTTTATTATATTTGAGAAATCATTTATGGTGTTTATTTCAAACAATGTCAAAGTGATAAAATTATGTTTGATTTATATATTGTTACATAATATTATTATTGATTATAATAATCATTATTTATTGACTGTAATGTCCTGCACGTGGATATTTTCAGTGTTTGGAAAATTCCTTTTAAAAAGTAATGCATTCTCATTCACATTCCTGAGCTGATAAAATTAAGTTGAGCTTTCCTATCAATCATTCCTTATTTTCATAATGAATGTATTCCACACTCACATTCATCAAAATTTCCAGTGCACAAAGAATTCATTCCAACTGCATTCCAAAAGAAGAAGTATTGTGAATAAAAAAAAAACTCAAGATTACATGGTATTCTTTCCTACAAATTATTATTAAAAAAAAGAAGAAAATTTTACACATTACTTTATTTTCCATTTTACTTTTGGAATTATATCATTTGCATTCACATTCCAACATAAAATAAATGAATTCACATTCGTTATTCCAAAAAAAATTAAAGTGATTGTATTCAAGAATGTATTCCTATAAAAAAGAATTAAATTCAATGATGCATGCTTTTCAAACATTGGATATTTTCTTATTTTAAAAATTGGAATATTAATTTTATTAAAATGTATAGAATGTATCAGGTTACCTAAATATTGTATTAAATATTAATAAAGATAAGTACCATCAATAAAATATAAAATATCTAAAACCATTGATTACCTATGTATCATAATCACCTGAATCGTTATGATTCAAAATGTATGCTCATACATGATATTATTTTTTTTTTTTGAGACAATGATTACATTTTGTGACGAGTTTAAAAATAAAAAATTCTGAAGATGCTATAGGGGAATTTTAAAGACAACCGCTTTAGTTTATACACGTTTCAAGTTTTAATGTAGGTACCATGCCCGAATATAATAAATTTGAAAATATGTACCAATTTTAAGTCAATTCACACCTATAATATTTTATAAACTTTTTTTTTTTAAAAACGTTTAGGCTATACAGTAAAAAAAAATAATTGCCGTGAAGTATTTTTTAAGGTCGTTGAGTCCGTAATATACGACATTCATCAGAGTTTATGAATCCCTCGTCTATTAAAAGTCTTTATTGTGTGTTAGTTAGATAGGTATGTATTAGAATATAGATCCCATCATTTATCATCCGTTTGCGGAAAGCCAAATTATTTATCTTGAGCTAGTTCAAAACCGATTCCATCGTATACGATGTTGCATTGTAGTGCTCGAATACACTAATGGTGTCTTATTAATATTGTCGACTGTCACCATACGATACACCTTCCTATCATCAATAATAGGCATGTAATTGTGAGTAAACAGTTTACTGATAACGTTTTTGTAAGTTGGTTACTGTATAGCTCTGTTACTCTTTCTATAGTAAACAGCTTGGTAAATTTTGAACCGCCAATTTCGTGTTGGTACCTATTAAGAAGTTTTACTATATATTTGGATGTTCAGTTACTAACAATCAGACTAGGTAAGATATAGATCTAAATACGTATAAATCGTGTGAATCATGATGTTTAATTTAATCAAATGCGCAACACTAGTATTGTTGTTTATACCTAATTACCAATCGAATTGCAACTTTGGATCTTTTGTCCAAACGTCCAAAGCTTAAATTTTGAATATTTCTCCATACCTCTGTTTCGAAATGAATACATTTTTTAATTATAGGTACATTATTAAATCCATACTAATATAAATTCAAAATTATCTCTTTTTAGATTTTAGATTCTGAGTGGAATGAAGAAGTTTATGGTTTTACAAAGATGTTTATTTTTTTTTTGGACAGCTTTTCTATCAGAAGTCTTGCTCCGATTTTTACATGTAGCAACTATTCTGAAAGGATATCGGTGTAGAGGGTGTACCTTAAAGTGGTCATTTTTAAAGAGTTTTCCCATCAAATGCGAAAAACCGAAAAAAAAAAACGGGAAAATATATGAAATACAACAAATATATTTTACTACCCGGAGTTTTACTTTACTCTAATATGACATATATATTGTTGACAAAGCTTTACTATCAATTCAACTCCGCTCAGAATCGTAGCAATGGTTTATCGTTGCTTACAGATATACATTAAATTTCCATCTGTATCCTAACTTTCCAACTTCCCACATTCAACAGTGTCTGCACCCGTCCCCTATATTTTACCTTTTTTTATGTTGATTCGACAATTATAGGCTAATATTTTTTTATTTTTTTTACAATTTAACATGCTGAAAATCGTCGTTTTATCACTATTTAAAAGCGTTGAAAATGATCTGTGAGATGTGTGTGTAGGGACTGCCACCAGGGATAATATAATCTAAATTTCACGTTTAGTGACTAAATGTACAACGAAGCACAAACAAAGATTGAAGACCAAGTGATAACTATAATTGGAAAAGGTTTATCAGATTTTGGGACGAGTAACTACGTAAAACCAGGGAAGTTAGTTCTTTAATCCGAGAATTGGATTACGATTCAGCAAATTTATAACAACAAATAACAAAGTCCATTCCACGTTTAAACTCAAAACACAGATTTTTTTCAAATAAGAATCTAATCTTTTAATTGAAATTTTAAATCAAATGATTTTTCTGAAAATGATGACGTATCGAAATTTGAAGTTTCTGAGTTATTCTGCTTTAAAATACTAAGATAACAATCTAAAAAGGATTATTTGTGTAGTGGCACAGTGAGCTGCGTTTCCATAAAATTCCTTTATACTCTTCCCTACCAAAAATTTAAAAATGGAATATCCGTTAATCCGTTGACGATCAGGTCAAAAAATCAAAATTGGTATCACTACAGGATACTCTTAAATGTTATGAAAAATCTAAGAATTCGAAATTATCAGCTTTGATTACAAATTAGAACTTTAATTTATGCACAATTTAATGGTATGAGCATGCTTAGTGAATCACTCTGTGTATATAAATATGTATACAATATGTAGTATTGGTTTAACTATGTAATATGTGATTTTTTTTTTCGTCTATGTACAACTTTTATACCAGAAATCTTGATCTAATATAATCAAAAAATAACAAGAGACCTTTTCTTTTTTTTATTTTGGACCTAGTTGATGCATTAAGGGGGTTATTTTATTGATTTTTCGAGCGGTTTTTATAATAATTTGGAACTTTACGAATTATTTCATTAAAATATGAGTTTAAAGTAAAACTATGATTTAGGCACAATAATAACAAATTATTTTATTGAATAGATATTATTTACCTTGTGGTTATCAATCCATCGTGTTGGCATTTCAGTCACAGTTAATCTTTAATCGTAAACTTTAGAGTCTACTATAGTTACGGAACCATAATATTTATAGCGAAGCTTCGATCGATTCGGACCTGGAGTTCACCAAAAAATAATAATTTTATGCCAAAATTGTCAATGATAATGCAATATAATGTTTGATATGGAAATAATTTCGTGTTTATTTATTATACACACGTACACACATATTTTGTAATGCAAAATAATCAGAATACACACTTTGAATATCACTCTCAAGATACACAATAATTTAGGTTCTGCAATAATTCATTGTTTTAAAATCGTATAGTATATAATTCAATAGCATGCGTTAATATAGAAAAATGAGTAATATTGACGGAATAATATATAATTGTTAATGTTAGGTAAAAATAATATAAATAATTATAATAATGTACAACAATCGTATTTAGTAAAAATATATATAATGATTTATAACCGTTATATAATTACAGAATGGTACTGGATCGTGGCTATACGTTTTGGACAGTTTTTTTAGCGTTTGTATTATCGGTTCGCTAGTGGTCATTGTTTGGCGAGGTGTTTGGAACATTATGGACAAGTGTTTGTATCCAGAAACTATGGATTTTTCCGCTATTTTATCGCTGGTAATGAATATTTATATTTTTCACAATATACATCTAAAAAATATAATACGAATATATTTCTATTTCAATTATTTTCCTGTCAAAATTGAATAATAAATTATTCGAGTATAATTTAACAGTACAGTACAATACAGTAATATACTACATAATTGGGTTAACTAAATTAGGTTAAATCTGTTTTTAAATCAAAGTATAAGTACCTACCTAACTTTGATTGATAATGACGTGTTTTCTTTTTCAAGAAAACACGTGTGTATTGCATGTATTGTAATAAAAATATATTATTCTAACTAAATTTCAGGTGAAAAATACCAGCAAAAAAAGAAAAACTTAATTTAATATTATATACTTCCTTATACATATACTTCAGTAAAATATCTCCTGCAAATTTAAGATATAGGACAATATTATTTATAAACATATTAAAGTAACAGTGTTATAACATGTTGGAAATAACTTTCCCGAGACCGGTTTTTTCTTTTTTTGTTTTCTACTAGGTGCATGGCTTCTAGCTATGTATAGTATATAACTGACTTTATAACGTGCGTGAAGTTGGCTCTACACTTTATCAAAACTAGTTCAAAATAGCGCTAATATTTTGCAAGTAATTTGCAAGCATTTGTAGTTCAATCCCAGAATTCGCAAATTTATAATAAAGGAGTTATTAAGGGTTGAACTGATTAAGGGCCAATTTCAATGGTAAATATATTACACAAATGCCGTTATTTTAACGATTTTTGTTTTAAAGTAGGTATTTTTATTTTAAAACAGTTATATAAAAAAAAAACTTTTATATAAAACTCAAATTTTCTTTTTTAACCACATATATTTATAAAATTTATAATATAGTTTACCATTTGAAAATCAAAAGTATGTAGTGGTTTATCTTCAAAAATAAGGATGACCAAAATTAACATAAATGTGACATTATAGGGCTACTAAGGCACTAAGGCAACATGTAACAACTTTTTAAGTTGAAGTACGTTGACACAACAAAAGTTCCTATATATTTCCAGAAGTTACTAAATGTTTCATCAATAGTTTGTTGCAAGCAACAAAAATTTCTTATTGTTTCATGTTACCACAAAACAATATAACAAATTGATAAACAGGCAACATGTAGCTACAAGTTTATCAGTGTGAACTCATTTTAGTCCAATTGTTTATGAATGTTACTGTGATTTTGTTGCCTAAATGTGTACACCATGTTTCCAATATTGCAATTTGTTTTCACGTGTTAAGGTAAAATAGGATATTATAGACAACTTACAAGTCTATGTTGCTTTAGTGTAAACCGGGCTTTACGATACATTGATCACCCTATATACACATAAAGCGTAACCTTCTTTATTGTTTTTTTTCTACGATTTGTTGGCACCTTAATATAAATTTAAATTTGTCCAATGTCAAGGTAAACTGAATAATATTAAATTGTAAATAAATATATGAGGTAAATATTGTAGTAAAATATTAAGTGGGTAGAACAAATTGTTTTCGGGCAATACGATTGTGGTAGTTATTTAACATTATAACATTAATAACACTTGGTACCTATAGTAAATAAACCTACATAATTTGACGCTGCAAACAAATAAAGACGTATCTAGTTCTTTTTTTTATTTTCATTTTTTCTTTTTGCATCTTGTCTCGTTTTTTCTCCCGTGAAAATAGCAGTATTCCTAACCTTTCAGGGAGCTTTTAAATCTAATCCAATAATTTATAAGACCACAATATTATTGCCTTTTCTTATTTTGAGTTATGTCTATTTTAGATTCTGAGCGAAGCAAGGAATGTATTGGTTTTACAATGGTGTTTATTTTTTTATTTTTTTTTTTTTTTTATGTGACACTTTTTCTACCTGAAAGCCAATTATTAAGTCTAGCATCTTTTCTGGAAGGAAATGTTCACTGGGTGGTACTTTAAAGAGGTCTTTTTTTAAATTCTCATTACATTCAAGATAATGAAGAAAATCTAGCTCTTTAAGTTAAAAAAAAAAAGATTGAAAGATTAAAAATAAGGTTGTCATTGGCAACCGTTTTTATTTATTTTTTTATTATTAAGTTTTTATTATTTTAATCTTTTTTAAAATATCATTGTTATCAAGAAAATGTTTCCTTGATAACATTGTAATAATTTCTTACCATAATATGACATATATATTGTTGACAAAGCAACACTTTTTCGCCGAAAAGAGACTTATCTTTTTATCAAATTAGTTTTTCCTTTGTAAAGACGTCACTCAAAAGTTAATTATAAATAGATCACCGAGAGATAACTTAAAAAAAAACCAATTATAATTTCCTATTTAACTCTAAAAGATACAAATATCTATCACAAAATATGAAAAATATTAAAAAATTAAAATGCAGAATTATAATTTTACTTTAAACTGTTGACCTGTATAACGATAAAAAGTGAATTACTTCTTTTCTCGTTGGTAACGTCGAATTATTAGGTAATAAATAATTTGCAAAATGCTATATAAATATTTTGTGAAAATTGATTAACGTCTATTTATCTATCTATCTATCTATTATATAATTTACAGCATCAATAACAATAATAATAAAAAATAGCGTTCATTTTAAACAAAATCAATATCACAAACCGGGTTCTGCCAAAATAGCTGTATTATATTATATATCTCTTAGAATTCGATAAGTATTTTTGCAAAAGTTAAAGCTTTTATCATAATGTAGGGTTATTGATTTCATTAACTATAATATAAGTGATAATATTACTTATTATATATAAAAAAAATATTATTTCATATCGGTCATGTATACATTTACCAAGTATAGCCAGTGGTGTTCCCATAGGGTGTACTACATATACGCCGTATACTCTCAACATTTTGTTGCAAAATCACGGTTATACTGCATATACTCTTAAATAGTTTAAAAAAGAAAAAATACTGTCCTAGGATAATGGGGACGGGTGCAGCCACTATTGTAGGTGGAAAATTGGGAAGGTAAGAAAATAATACAGAAGAGAATTTCATGTATACCTGTGAACAACGATAAACCATTGCTAACGAAAAAGCGATTATGAGCGGAGCTCAATTGATAGTGATGCTTCGTCAACAATATATATGTCATATAATGGTAAAATAATTAAATAGACATTATATATTATCTTTAATAATATTTTTTTAATGTACCGATTTTCCGTTTTTCCTAAGTTTTTCCCGGTTTTCCCGTGTTATTTTTCGGTTTATCATATTTGTTGAGAAAACTACTGGGAAAATCGAAAAATAGCCTCTCTAAAGTACCTACTCAGTCAGATTTCCTTTTAGAAAGTGTTATAATTGTAAATCAGAGCGAAATTAATGGTAGAAAAGTTGTCCATAGAAAAAAAAATCGTAATATTTTATTAATATATTTTGTATATTTTCCCGTTTTTCCTCCGTTTTTTTGTTTCGAATTGTCATATTTGATGAGAAAACTCCTGAGAAAATCGACAAATGATTTCTTTAAAGTACCTCCCCCTACAGATTTTCTTTCAGAAAAGGTGCTACACTTAAAAATCGATCATAAGTTGTTCATACCACTTATGTCACCAAAACCGAAATAGTAATTAAAATTGTGTTTATTTCAGTAATTTTTATAAATAACTGAAAATTTCACAATTTTCTTACGATACATAAAATAGTACTTTATTTTTAAAACTGTTAAGTTTTTTGTTTTAGTTAAATTTTTTGTACACCTAATTAATATCTATTTCCATGCAAACAATATAATTCATAAGAAAAATATATAAAATTAGGCGGTTCAATATACTCTTAAAAAAATGAATGAGAACACCACTGAATATAACCTATGGACCCTTCTCAATAATGGACATTTTTAAATTCCCCGGCAAAAATGTATATACATAATAGGAGTAATAACCTCTTAATAGTGGACACTGGACACACCTAATAGTGGACGTGGATACTAAAATCCAGTACTAAAATTAAAAATTACCTCTCATAAATGGACACAGTATATGTACATAACGAAAATGTTTAAGTAATAAAAATACTATATTTATCTTTTATACATCTTTTATATGTCTTCCTATAGTGGACATTTAGTAATTTCTCGCAAATGTCCACTATATAGAAGTTTCACTGTATTCATTTTAATCGTTAATTTAAACGATTTAGGATATTCTTTTGGGTATCCATAATATAGTTGTAATAATTTCATGTGGTATTCCATAGATACTAACATAATATTTTAACTAATATATTTTCGAAAATTTAAATGTACCTATAATTAATTTAATTTGCTAGGATTGATTAAACAGATTGAATATGCAAAAATGTCTCGCACATTTCAAAATTTGTTTTTTAAAATCTTATGATCCTGTAATTATTATACAACTGTTAATGTCTACTGCAGTATCTCTTTAAAAATTCTTAAATCTGTTTTAATTACAATTAACAATTCTATTATATTCTTTTTTGTATTCCGATGAACACATTATGGGTTGGTATAATATACGAGGACCATCACTGACTCTCAAACAGGAAGTGTAATTATAATATATCTACAGAAAGGGTGTGTGTGCAAAGAAATATACAATGATCTGTATATGCTTTTGTATACGTTAGTTAGCGTTTTATACCCTTCGCCCAAAGACAACACTTATGTTTAATGAAAAAATTTACAATAGTTTATTTTAAACGTTTTATTAATTGGTCTTTTCCGTACGCAGTATTATTCTGATTGACCGTCGCCGCCGCCGTAGTTTGTTTTTTATTAAACGGTTTTTTGAACCACCGCACACGCATTTTTCTTATATACCTATAATAAAATATAGCCATAATACTCGTAACCACGATATCTTTTAAAAAACATCATGTCAGAAGATCAATAAACCGCGATAAAAAATGATGATGGTGGTAATAATGTTATTAATCACCTATTTTGGAAGTTTCGAAAAGTGAACCAATAAACAGTTATTTTTTTCTAATGATTAAGGGCCGATAATAAAATGTTTATTTTTCTCTAATTATATGTCCCGCTGAAATCGAATTGAAAAAAAAATTAAAAACGGAGTACACGGAGAGACAATGTGTATCATAGACACCTCATTTACAACAATTATTTTACTTTCGTTTTATATAATCGAAGTTTCAACCACTACTTTCATTAATAAACACTATTTAAATATAAAATATACGATATTTTAACATATTGTTTTAAAAATATTGAATTTTGAAAAAACAAAAATAAAAACACAACATTTTACTAACTTTGTTATGTTTGTTTACAGATTATAGGGTATACTATAGTACTAACTGCTTTTGCGTTACAACCCGTTATAAAGAAATTTGTTAACAAACTTAGCGGTTTTAAAAAGTTATTGACTGTAGATATATATTTGCTGTTTTCGTTTGTTGGCGCAGTAAACGTGTGGAGAGGCTTATGGATATTGTTGGACCATTACTTCATACCAGGTTAGACATATTGGCCAGTTAATATATATTAAATATTATAGTACCTATACTATTTAGGTGATAATAAAGATAATCAAATTTTTTTTAATTTTTTTTATATATATATTATTCACTGTTTTATTCTTAATTTCCTGAAATTGATTAAAAGTGAGTTGGCCCTTTTTTGACCCAAGCCTCAGATTTATATTGCAATTATTTTTTTATACTTTGATAAAAACTTAAAATAATAACTTTTTATTTTATTATTGTTGAAAAATTTAAAGATGGCCATTTAATAATTTATTTTTCTGAACATTGATGTATCTTGATGTATAAACTTTTTATTTTCATTAAATTTATAATTTTAAATATTTTTTTTATAATTCAGAGAAAAGTACCTATAATTATGCAACATGCTATAATTGCATTCTCTAATTGATTATTGTTATTACGATTAATTGATTGTACAATTCTTTTTTCTGAACTTTAATAAATTATTAAAAATCACGAATTTAATAATATAAAAAGTTGATACGTCAAAATGTTCAAAAGAATTAAATTGTATAAAATGGCTTTTTTTATTATTTTTTACCAAACTATAAAAATGAATGGCAATATAAATATTTATAGTTCTTATCCCAGTGAGTTGTATATAAAAAAAAAAACAGAATTTGATTATCATTATTATCTACGGAGTTTTTACAATGGGACACACTGTACACCATCTTATTATTATATAATGTATAACGATTGGCTTATAAAATTGTAATAGACTACACTGTGCAGATTCAACTTTTTATGTCTATGAAACTGTTAAATATAAAAAGGACCATTAAATACTGACGCACTATGCTGGCAGCATGCATGTATAGTTTAATTACTCGTTTAAAATTAAAATTATTTGTTTTAGTTTGAAACTCACCATATGACACTGTCAAAACTAAATGGTTTTCAAACATAATATTATCTATAATTCATCTCCAAAAAGTACAACTTTCATTTCATATATTTTATGATTAATTCAACGAATCACATTTCTATTTTAATTTCTATAAGAATCAGGCATTTATACTATCATAATATTTAAGGAAGAAAAATATTTTCCTATTTTAATAATATTCTGGCATATCAAATTAATAATAAATAATAAAATACAAACAATTTTGCCTTTTTATAGATGTTTAATAATGCACGTAATCAATCATAAACGTATTATAATATAATATTTATATGACATTATTGTTAATGATTTAGATTAATCGTATTTTAAATTGTACATATTAAACACTAATATTTGTAATTAACTTTTCAGAAGCCCCAGTTACCAGTTATTGGATTTCACATATAGCGTGTTTCGTTTTTCTAGTCTTAGTGAACTCCTCCAACTCAATATTGGTCCGAGGCGTTTACATAGATGCCGAAGAAGACGGCACTCAGTGTGTCGATTTTCCGTGTTATTATGTGCGACTTTTGGTACAAGTAAGTTCTACGATATCTATATACATGATATATAATATTATAATATAAACATTAAAGTATTAAACGGTGCACATTAACAGTTAATTAACCACTTTAAAAAAAAAAATTTAAACATGAGTGTACTTTGGTGACATTTTAATTCGCAAAGTAGGTATCATTTTTCTTTTAATTTATACCTTGACCCTGAAGTGATTTATATTATAATACCTACCTGTATACCCGATAACTATTATAGTAGTCTGTAGACACAATTTCGATAAGAAAACTTTCTTTAATCAAAAACCACGTGTAGGTAGGTTACTAACTGTTTGCGTTTTGGATCTATAGTTGTTGTATCTTGTATAAAAAAGGTTTTCCGTATTTTGAAATTTCTTATACCTATCTTGGTATATTTGAAATTTTCGAGTTTTTTTCGATTTATTTGGATAAAATTATTTTGGCCCCGAAAATAAATGCTCGGAAATGTAAATAAAAAATAAAAAAACATTCGATAATAAATTCTGAAATCTGAAGTACATAAATAAAAATTTATAAATCTACTGTGATCATGTGATGTCAAAAGCAGCTATTCAAATACAAAATTATGCTCCGAGATAATTGTAGAAGTTTTAAATTCGAAAACTTGAAATCAATTTTTATCACCTCATGCTGGTACTCGACACATATTATTTAATGATATAAATAATATAATACTGTTCAAACACAATGTCATACAAACAATGTTTTCTGATTTTTAGTACACTTATTTAGAATATCTAATATTTGTACTATAAATCGCATACTGTATTAATTTTTAATAAACAATTTGCCATATTTATGATAACGAAATCTGCATATTTCATGGATTTTTACATATAAATCTGGACTATACTTATTAGTAATGCGATTATTTAATTACAATAAATGAAATTATTATATTATTTCCTTTTCTTTTATATAGGTAGATGTGTGCTTTTTATACATGATCTTTGATTCATTTTTTGATAACATAATATTATTATTACTCGACAGGTACCTACGCATAATTAAGTGCGAATCCAGTGTAATTATTAGGGGAGGGACTATTTATACTGTGGATATAATGTAACATCTGTATAAAATTTGATAGGAAAAGTATGTATTCCAGTAAATTTTAAATAAATAAACTTCCAAACAACAAAAAATATAAGTACCTACATTAAAAAGAACACTGTCTATTTAAAATAAATAATATTAATAACAAATAATAAAAACAATAAAAAAATTAAATATGAACACGCATAATATTAAACATTTTATGCCAAAAGTTATACATCAAAATGTTTGAGATTCGAAGCGTAGCACGGGATCTATTGATTTTACTATGATGTGTTTTTTTTAAAATTTTTTTTTTTGTATTTAAACAACTTTTCGAAAAGAACACTTCCTCCAATGTATCAAGTGTGACAACTTTTCAGAAAGAAAATTGTATCTAGTTAGTTCATTAAATAAGTCATTTTTTGATTTTCCAAGGGGTTATCAAAATAATTACGAAAAAACTGAAAAACAATTTTAGGTAAAACCACAAATATTTACGGCCTACCATATGGCGTTATCGATTTCATTGTATTTTATTTTTGCAACTTGTGTTCTACCATAAATATTGTTCCAATCGAAAAATGACAAGACACTGCTTTTATTCCTTATAACATGATATCCATTGAAAAAGAAAGTCGTGTTTTGAAATCCAAAATAGTTTTCTTAATAATCAGGAAAAACCAAAAAATACGATTTTTTTTTTTCTTATTACGATCCACTGATTTTATTATTTTAAATTTGAATGGCTTATGTTTTCTTTCATAAATATTTCTCCAGAAAAATGCCAAGAGACGGTTTTTATAGCATTTGTTGGCACTCCTATCCCTCCCTTCTTTGTATCCGCACCTGCGAAAAATATAATAATTGCATAATATTATACATTATGTATTTTATTTTATATTATGTAATAGGTTAATAATATTTAATTAAGGACTGTGATTATAAATTATTTACACGATATTGAATAACTTAATACAGTATAGGTATATAGGTAAATAAATATACTATCATGTAAACTATAGAAATATCATTATTATTATTATTATTATTATTATAATAAATTAGTATGAAATACAATTTTACAAACGCAGTTATATTTAGACCCACAAGTGATTAGATTATTGATTTATATAGACAATATGATAGTAATTCAATAATTGCAAGGTCAATGCGCTTGAAATTTTTGTAAACGAATAATAATTAACGTCGGTTATCAGTTTACAATGTGAATATTTATTGGTTCGGTGAAGCGTTGGATTTAAGTGAAATGTGTGATCCAGAAGTAGATAATTATAGCAAACTACCTATAGGTTAATTTCCTTTTAATTATATTTGTCCTTAACAAAAAAAGTATGAAAAATTAAACATAATATATCGCGAGCAATGTTTTTTATTGAAGATTTTGTATACATTTTTTTTTTTATTTTCAATCCTATAATGCCATTTTTGTTCGACATTCTATAATATTTAATAATAATTTTTTAAGATTTTCCTCCCCCTACTCTCCTGCGTACCTACTGATTAATAGTTAATATATTATATTATTCGTCTATATTTTAGAAGAGGAAGCGAAGAAAACAAAGACATATCGAAGAAGAAGATAAAGAAATGATGCAGATTAAAGTCGGAATAGACGAGCAAACAAATAATACAAACCAGAAAATTTTACTTCCAAATGAAAACGGTGGTACCATATTTAACGAAACGGAAGAACAGGAAGAAATGTTAAACAGCACAGCTAAAATAGTTTGACATTATAATATAACTGTTGTATACCTATCGCATTCAACGTTTGTATTTTTGAATCCTATACATATATATACAAATGTAAAAAACGTATCATTTACGAAACATTCCGAATACTTCGTGTTCGTTTGAGTTACCCGAACAATTAATATATTTTTTTTTATATTGATACAAAATTGTTATTAATTGTTATAATAATATTATGATGTATATAATACAATTTAGCCAGTTTCATTTTATTTATTTTTTCATTGTAAAACGTCATAATTTAATTTAGATATCGTATGAATTATATACTTTTTATTTGGTAGTATTAATAAACGTACATTATCGACATTCGATAATAACTTTTTGTAAATACTACAATTCTATTAATATATATTGTAATCATAGTTGATAATGATCAGTGGCGCCCAAACTATACTTCGAGTGTATCAGTTGCTACACATATTTTGGGCGAGTCAGTGTTTCCGATAATTGAGATTTGGGATAGTCGGGTAGAATGAGTATAAAAATCCAAGGTTTATCGTAGGTTGTAGAGGTTAGAAAGTATATATTTATACAGGCAAAAGTTGTTGAGGTGGGTGGTGGTTTTGAATTTCAAATTTTGCTACACCATAAAAATATAGTTTGGGCACCACTGAATTAATTATGTATGCTGAATTTATAAATGGTATTATTAATTGCTATTAACGTTGTGCAGTTTCCCATTTTGTTTCCCAAAAGAATTTCATTGAACTATAAGTAGATATATAATATTGTTTAGGTAGATTCTAACGATGCCATTTGATTCTAAAACGGTGCAATTTACTTAGAGATAAGTCCCTTTAAAACTTAAAAATCAAATATTTTATAATTGTGTCTATAAAAAATTGTATAAGTTCGTATTTATTTTATAATTCAATGATTAAAACATTTAATTTATACGGAATAACTTCATTCATGAGCAAATTATATATTAACCTAAACCTATTTATTTTTGAGCTTAATTATTACTAATATTTGTTTAAGATATAATTAGGCATATGTTTTTAGTTAAAGTGGGTTAAAATTTTAATTTAAGTGGGAATAAATATTCGTTTTTGTATGACAATTTTTAATACGAGCCAATAATTATTTCTATTATAATAATTGTTTTATTATTTTCTATTTGTTTTTTATTATTATTCATTCTTAAGTCGGGTTTACAAATAGTATAAAATACAAATAATATTACCTACCCAGTTTTAAAAAAAAATGATAGCCGTGAATTACTGCAGAAACCTACTCATGTGTCAAATAGCTAGGTACCTATGCTATTTGACCTATTTGAGCTATTTGAGGCTATAATTTTTAACACATATTAAATAGGTGTAATGGGTTAATTAGGTTTGAATGGTTATGTATTTAGTTTATTTTTTAATACTATGTAAACAAATGCTTTTGGGAAATTTCTGTCATTAAAACCCGAATTAAAATTAGGGGTATTTTAAATTATATACTATTGTATGTTATTACAGAAAATATTTTAAACAAGAACCCGAAGTATTTTTTAAATTTCTAATGAAACATATTTTAGATTTGAAATTATAAAACGATATAGGAGATTATTATAATATTATACAGGTAATAATGTCTAAATATTAAAATGTACAAAATTTAAATGTTTAAAACTCACTAAAGAGTATAGGTACATTTTTAAATACCTACATAATACATAAAAATGATGATATAATTGGCAAGAATATTGCTAACGTCATACTCGTTGAACATACATATTGATATTATTTATATTGACAAATTTATATAATATATAAATAATCTATTTTATACATTGTTAAATTTGTTAGTATTTTACTCGTTAATATGTATATTAAAAAAAAATGTATAGTAGTTAAATTAAACATTAGTACACGATAATTGAAAATTTTTGTTACCTACCTAATATATAAGTATGGTATAAAAATACTGTATAGGTACTCGGTTTACGAGATTCCGTTTTTCCCCTTATTCGAGTAGGTACCTATAGATTTATACAATTTGACGATTAAGCATAATTATATAGGAATAAGGTTCCTATAAATATTCGCAAATTCGAATATGAATCCGTTTAAATCATCAGCATCCGGGGTATAATAACAATGGTGTATATTATTATTGTTATAATTTGACTTCGTGCTAGTTTAATTTAAATAGGAAATAAAAAAATATATAGGATGTTGCATAAATTATACTTCCAGCCGGTCTGTTCCTCAACGTCCGCTTTTGATGTTGGTAGTTAACTCTCGGGAAGGTCCCACAGACATGTTATTAGGAGGGACAATTATTAAAGAACAATAGCTACGCATGAACAAATTATTTACGTTGTACCCAATATAAAATGGTTTGTGTCATTATAATTAACGAACGATATTAATAATAATATGATAGAAATGTACACATTTTTCTAACAAGCAAAACTTCGTAATTCAATTTAAGCACATTAAAATGTGTAAACAAGATCCTTGAGCCGACTACTAAACCATCGGCTTCACCGACGCCGACGTTAGCTCAAAACTTGTATGTCCTTACTTGGTACTCGTTATAGCAAAATTAACCATCGATGTTTTTGGCAGAAATGTGTGTCATTTCTGGTGAGTTTAAATAGTTCATTTTTATCAGAAAGATTTTTAAGATACTTCAGATAGTCTTAAAAACATAGAAACCAAACTTGAAGACCTTGAATATTTTCATAAGCTATTAATTATTATATGGTATAGTTATAATACTTAGCATGGTGTTTGTAATATATTAATGTTTATTACTAACCTAAATAGGCGCCAACAGTTTCATTCGGGATTGATAGAATAAAAAGTTTGTCTAAAATAACAATATCTACCTTGTGACTAATGTTAACTAATGCATTTTTATCAAACTGTAGCAGGAAGAGACAAAAAAAGAGTCTAGAAACAAGTCCAATACATAAATAATCGATGTGTAATTTATATTATTACTTTTACGTCAGGATGTGTATTTTTTCTTAGTCTATAATTAACTTTCCAACCATATAATACGTAAACATATTTTAAAAATCTATACAGTTACACAATATGTGGTTTATATAAGTTCAATTTTATGATAAAATTTGTTAAAAAACACAAACAATGTTTATTATAATACAATTATTTTTTATTATAATTGATGTAAACAATATCCCTCTTTTTGTACGATTACCTACTTATAATTTTAATATGTATGAATATCTTTTATTTAACACCTACTTAGTTTGTTAGATTCCAAGCCACAAATAAATGGTTCCATTAACACAACTGGTATTGTAGAATACATAAGACCATGGATGGCTTAAAGTGAAACTAGAATTAAAATGTTTTTATTTTCAGTTATTTAATATTTACACTATTAATTATTATATTACTTTAAGATTTATAATTATATTTTGTATGTTTATATTTGTTAGTTATAGAAATGAAACAAAATTACTATGACTGAAAAAAATGTGAATGATAATGATTCTACCAAAGCTACAATTTAATATCGCTACGACAATATCTTAATATTGTAGGCGTATTTTTTTTTCTTTTACAATATATTAATAAAAATAATTATATAATTGTTTGCACATTTAAAACTGTTTTAATTTCAAAAATATTAAAAATTATTTGAATAACTTATTTAGGTTTTTTTTTTTGAGGGGGGCATTTAAAATTCCTGTGGTTATAATCCCAACTTTTAAAATTCTGACAAGGTCAACATTCCGGCAGTGTCGAAATAGTAACAGATAAAATCCCAACAATCAAAATCCCGACAAAGTCAAAATCGTGAAGGTCAGAATCCCGACATAAGAAATTCCGACAAAGTTAAAATCCCGACAGACAATATCCCCCAGAATTTCTCAGACATGATTATCAGCATTCCCTGAGATTATGTAGGTGATCGCCTTATTATACCTCTTAAAATTATACTTATTAATTATCAACTTGTAAAAACATTATAATAAGAGCAGTGTTGGAAGGGAATGGGTTCCTTTCAAAGGAACGAAGCTTGGAACGCGTCTATATTTATATGTTCAAATATAGGAACAAGGAACGGGAATAGTTCTTATTAATATGGAACGTGAACGCAAATTTCTGTTCCTTCATTAAGATAAAAAAATGAAACTCTTAGTTTTGGTATCATACTTTATGACTTCATTTCATGACTGTAAAAAGACACAAGAGATGCTTTGTTAGAAAAATCAGTCTTTCTTAAACAAAACAAAATGTCAGTGTAATACTTTTTTTTTTGTATAATTAATAAAATATTATATTTTTAATTTTAAGTAAATTGATGATGATTTTTTTTCAAGTAATATATTTTTCATTTTTCATTTTTTAGTGTAGGAACTAGGAAATTAATTTTATTTAATTTTTTAGAATTTTAAACATTTAGATTCTAAGCAGTAAGATTAGTTTCCAATTTTAGTTATCTTACCCAACTTCCTACCTAAAACAGTAGCTGCACCCGTTCCTAGTATCTTTTTTTTATAAATATACGTAATACATATTCATAAAAAAAGGAACGCTTAAAGGAACGAGGAACGAGAACAGGTTTCTTTTTTGCATTGAAACGAGAAATTGAATTCTTTTTTAAATAGAATTTTGGCAACACTGAATTAAAGTACATATTTTACATATAAAAATATTATGGACTAAACCACGTAAAAAATCCAAGGTACTCCAGTTTTCTTGATCTTTACAAACAGTCATTATACGTTTAATATGTAATTATTTTTTCGTGTAGGATGTTGTTCACCATGAACAATTTTTTTCGATTTCTAAATTAACTCGATTCTGCTCTTTCTTAAACTCATTGATACAAGTGAAAACACTGACATGAGTTTTACCAACCAAAATATCACAACACCGATTCCAGTCTTCAATAATATATTTTGTGTCCTCGAAATACCTTCATCAATCAAATCCGAAACAGACCAAATATTGGGGGCAATAGTAAATCCGCACGCAATACATTGACATTTTTTTATTTTGGCGATGAATTCAACCATATGCACGTAATTATCTTCAGACTATTGAATAATTTTTTCCTTCAGGAGGAAATTTTAATTCATCGATGACACTTGGAATATTATTAGAGGATATGAATGTAAGCGCAAGCATTTGCATTATTTTTTTATGCTGAATTCTTCTTTTGAACACATAAATTTACCAAGCTAATGATTGTATTTTTCTTCATGTACTTAGGGAAAATTGAAAAACCATAATTTGTTTTCCACGTTTTCTGCCAATATTTTCACAAAAATCGTTCAAATCTTGAAATAGATGTATATAAAGAAGTTCAGATTTTGTGGACATTAAACAGTATGCAAATGGTAAAATGCGAGTATTCTTCTCCTACAGGTGCATGCAGTAATATGCACAACTACCTGAATATGGCGAGGACTGTCCAAAAAGTGTCATCTATAATAAAATAATTAGCTTGCGTCAGATGACAAACAAATCGCTTGTAAAATGCCTAAAGACAGAAAAAATAAAAATAAAATAAAGTTGTCAAATTCTAAACACATTTCGTATACTTGTCAAGTGTGTGCGTGTGTGTCAGTCTCGGATCCAGTTCACTGCTTAATTATTATTAATTAAGCAGTGAAATTGCCTATACGCAGCTCCTTCAATATTATACGGTATGTAACTGTTGGGATTATGACCGATCGGGATTTAAACTGTCGTGATATTGACTATCGAAATTTTGACCCAGACTTGGCTTTTTAAGTGAAAAAACAGCTATTATAACTTTGCAGCATGTATTAAATAAACATTTTTTAAATATTTGCAAATTATTATGTATATTATGTATTTTAAAATGGTATAATAATATAATATTTTAAATGTTTTTTTTTTTTTAATGAAAATGTGGCCATTATACCATTGCTGCATTTATTTTTTAAAAAACCCTATTACAGTCGGACTAGATTAACTCGAAGTTGAAAGGACACAAAATACAAAAAATAAATTTGAATTATATTCATATTAAAGATTTCATTCTTTGATTCCCCGGAGTTTTGGTATTAATTGGGAAAAACCAGGAAAAAACTTAGAAAAACGGGAAAATGTACAAAATTTTTGTTTTTTATTTGTTCTGATTTAGTTAAAAGTATTCGTAGAGACTTGACATTTTAAAAGGAAACTTATATTTTCCTAGTCTTTCCCAGAGGTGGTCAAATTTTCAAAATATTTTAGCCATTTTTAAACTATTTGTAAATGTTTTATTTTTGCGAGTTTTTTACGTAATATTTATTCGGTGATCTGTGAGATGAAATTGTTAAACTAAACAAAAAAGCTTGACAATTCAACAGAAAGTTCATTATACGTCGCACTTTGTGGTCAACGTAGAAAAAGAAATAGGGAATAAAGTAGTATTTTTTTTTTTTTTTTAAATTTTCATACCAAATTTTGACGAAAATCGTAAATATTATACAGCTTTTCAAAACAAGTATAACTGAACTATACTCAGAATCTTTTAAAAAGAAAAATCTTTGAGTAAAGACATACATTAAATTAATCTCTATATCCTATACAACCAATCAAACTTCTCACCTACGAGTTCACTTATCTTGTGAAGTATATCCGTATCTTATTTTTGTTGTTTTCAAAAAAAATAAGTACCTATTCAAAGTTAATATTTTAATCTGAAAGTTCTTACCAGGTGCTATTACCGATATCATCCTACCATATTTATTTCTATCATTGCCATTGTTTTTAAATTATTCAACGTAGAAGGAAGTAAACATTTTATTCTACTGAACATATATTTTTTTCAAATGCTTAACAAATGAAATAAATATAGTTTTTAAACAAGCTATTATATTGTCCTTATAAAGGCACCAGTGAGCCAGCCCCTTTTGAGTGTTAATAAATTATAAGGAGACTGTTTGTATTACCCACGTTGATTGTAGTCGAGTGTTGTTTGATGTATGGACATTTTAATCATTGTATGAATTGGATATAGACATGTTTATTGAAGTTAAACGTAGACGCTAATATGTTTACTTAAAACCTCTTCAGGTTAACACGTCTGCCAAGATTCTATTCTCTGGTTCCTTTTTGCTCTTCATGACGTACGTGATTGCGTGATTTTCCGGAAGCGTTTTCGATTCTCCGAGTATACCAAGATAACTGATAAGGCTTATCCGATGACACGAGTACCCCATGTGTTTAGGTGATTAAGGTTAATAAGGCGAACAATATACATAAAATTGATAATTACCTTCGGTATAATAATATACCAAATAGGTATACAAAAGATTATAGGTACTGCAACTATATTATTATTCGTTGGAATGTAACGTAATTTTGTGTGTATACCTAACTTACTATATAAGCTATAATATACAAGCTATAGCAATGTAATACGGACATCAAACTCCTGAATAACTTTTGTTCTGTTCAATATTTTTTTTAAGTTCTTTTCTATACATTATTTAAAAAAAACTTAAAACAAACAATTTAAATTGTTTTAGAATATTGTTCTTACAAAATTCAACATAGCCAATTTATATGAAATAAAACGTTGATGTTACAAATATTTCGTAATGATGAATCGTACATTTATGACAATTTTTCGGAATTCATGATAAATAAAATTATTTTCATTACTATTACTTAAAAAAAGATTCACTAATTTATTCATGAAATATAACCTTGTAAAATTCAAAACATTTTAGAAACTTAACGATTCATATTTAATTACTTTTACTAAATATATTTGTAACATCAACATTTTGTTTCAAAATATATCTTTAATCTTTTAAAAATTTTTATTTAAAAAAAAAAAAAAAAAATCATAAGGAATCATAGCGCATGGCTCTAAAAATTATTAAAAGAAAAAAAATGTAAAAATCGGTTGTTTCCGCCAATTGTATTTCTACCTACCTACCTACCTATTCCTTTAAGATATCAGGAACTTGATTACAATTTACTAAAAAAAAAAAAAAACTTTAACAACATACTTTATTCAGTCTTAATAATTTTATTAAATTCTTTTAATAGTTATCAAAATATTACTATCTCATAAATAAATTTTAGTCAATTATATATATATATAATTATCACTTAAATAAATTAACTAAATAA